CAAGTACGCTTTACTCAACAAAAAACCATCCATTTGTTTTCTAGCAACAGAGATTTTTTTTGTGTGTGTACTTCCTCCTCAGCTTGTCAAAGCATGTTACTCAACATAGTAAATGTGGGATTAGTTGCACTGCTGCATAATCTAAATTCATCTGATTATAGATTTATGGGTGCTGATTGTTCATTTCATAACTCTTTAGTGAAGGTTTACAACAGTGACGTGGGTAGCTCAAACAAGAATCCAGCATAGACAGATTTGTGAAGGAATGAGAGATCTGGCTGTGCCTTCTCACACAAAGGCAGAGTGGAGCCCAGAGGGCACTAGGGGTTCCGGAAATAGTGACAGAGGTATTTCACGCTGCAGAAGTTGGCTCAGTCATTTGTCAGGGCAGAGGAAGAGCTGAATTGTTACCTGAATAGAAACAACAGAGGGATCCCTTTACTCATGCAAATGGTATCAATTTAACTAAAATTGATGCAAAAAGCCAATGCAGTTAAATCTCTGCAAGCCACAATGAGATACATTCATTGTCTGAAAATCACATAAGATGTTTAGGTTTTATGTACAAATTTACCGAACCTGATATATTCCAGATTAAGAGAATCTGCATGGAATTCTGCCATTTAAGAACAGCCATTTGGTTAATTCAGTTAAAATTTCTTCTAGATAGAGCCTCAGACAGAATAGGCCCTGGGGTATATAGGTGGTGCAAGTGCACCCCAACAAGACATCAGCATTTCATATCATCCAGTGACCTCTCTGCTTTGGGCTATGTAGCAGTGTAGAAGTCTCCCATAGTGTCACTATGAGGCTCAACTAGCCTCAAATCTATGACTTAGGAAAAAGAGGGTTTGTATAATTTTCCCCATTCTTCAAGGTTGCCAAAATCCTTAGTTTTCTACTGTTTATAACACCACAGACTAAGCATTATCAACATGGTGAAGTGCAATTGTTATTCATCAGAGAACACTTGGATTCAAGAAATTGGAGTAACCAGATTTAGATACTTGAGGACAATTGTATATGCTGGAAAAAAGCAAAAGCTGCACTTAGCACTCACTAGAATGGATGAACTGCTGAGTTTGCTTCTTTTAGTCTTTGATTTATCTTGCCCAGGACAATTTTTCTTTGGTTGCATCTTCATTTTGTTGTCCCTTTGCATAGGTATCTGGCTGATCCTGTCTCCTGGGAAGCATAACTTCATCCTGCAAAAATGAAGAGTCCCTTTCTGACCACCAGCCAGAAATGAAGCTGTATGCAATAGGATCTCTGTCCTTTTGAGGATGTTGTGTGCCATTGACAAGCTCTACTGTTGGCATCTTCTTATGCAGATTTTATGTGGGTAATCTGTCATGTTTGTTCCCACTGAGTGGCCCCAGTGAGCCTTGTCAACAAGCAGCAGGTGAGGAGAATTTCTAATGCTGGTGGTAGATGGGGTGAAGTCTAGTGTTTGGTTTCAAAATGAAGCACAGCAGTACAGAGCACTAAGCCAGCCATGGGGATTAACTGCCATTTGTCCATCACTTGCATCCTTGGTTTAAGCAAGAAGTAAAACATAACTTCTTTGTAAGATTGTCTCTAAATGCCCTTTCTTGGGAACAATTTTAGCTTCATGGTATTAGAAATGAAGAACTGTTGTTGTTCTTCTTCCTCAGGTTGCTATGCAGTCCAGGCCGATATACAAATGGCAGTGTCTCCCAGGAGCCTTTCAGAGATACGAAGCATGTGGGTAGAGAAGAGAAATAGTAGGCCTGCAAGGTGATCAATTTGGTTGTCAAGACTGCAGGATACTGTCACATCCCACGGCATCAAATGGCAAGTAATTTTCTTGTCATCCTTCCCATATATAAAAGTAGTTATTAATCGGTATCCCAGTTCACCTTTTACAGAGTACCTGAGCTGGCATTAAACAGGAGTGACAGATGATTGACAGAAAAGGTCACACAGCATGGCTGGAGAGCATGCCATGTTCTACTGACAGGAGTGTTCATGTACTGCAGTGCTTCATATTTGCTGTGGGTGAGGAGGGGTCAAGGACTGTGCCTCATCTGGATGGAAGGATTTACCATTTACCTTTACAGATTTGCCACTTACTGGGCCAGCATCTCAGCAGCCCTGCTCAAAATGCACTGTGCTCAATGCAACTTTCAGATGGTCAGTCATATTCTCCCTCTCACACTGAGTGTGCTCTATGGTTTTGTGCAGGGAATAAGTTTCTTTGTCTAGATCACAGAATTCTCTCCCCTGTTTACTGATTACCAAAAATACACACATTTTCTTAGGAAGGGATTTTCACTGAGAGGGGTGATTGCCAGTTACATAAGCATCCATCATTTGGCTCTGGTGGGGCTTGCGTGGGGCATCAGCCTGTGGCTGAATTGGCCCGAGGCCCATTGTCAACACAGCCATTAAGATCTAACTTGAAATATGTTTGTATTTCTGCTTACATTTTTGCTTAGTCTTACTTGATCCTCCCTTATTTCTCTTGTTTATATGATCAGCCTCCTAAGTTACTTGTTAATGGCAAGTGAAAATATTTTGTGCTGAGTAGGGGGAAAGGGAGTAGAAGAAATTACAGGCTTACATTATGAAGCTTAATGGCCTTAATCACTGGAATATAATCACAAAGGAAAAGTGCTTGTTACTAAGAGGCCACTTTCCCAGAAAGCCCCACTCCCAGAGACATCCTTTTATACAAAAATAGAGCTGTGGTCTAGGGTTTCTAGGCAATGTAAGGAAACACTGTACACTTTCTGATTCTCCTGTGGTTCTCATCACTCATAAAATTCAGATGAAGTAGGGAATTGGCTGCCTTCAAACCATTTCTTTGCAGGCCCTGATGCAAGGAATGCTGCAAAGAACAGAATAGCGAAGGATGAAGCGTCAGTGGGAATGATTCACTTGCTTTTTCTGTCCCAGTAACCAACAGAGACTCCATTATAGCCCAGAAAATGACCATTTGATTTTCAAGCAGGGCTGATATGATAACAATACTATTTCAGCAAGTTTGTGAATTGTGCCCACAAAAACATGACTGAATAAATTGAAAGCTTGTTATCAGCTCTGCTGAATGCTGGTTTCAGAAAGGGAGAAATTCAGTCAATATGAGGAACCTCACTTATGATAGCAGTAAAATCTGGGCAGGAGTTTTAAATGAAGAAAGTTGCCTTGCTATCAATGTAAGAAAAAAGCTCTTTAGAACTGCAGACTTTTAAAAATATAAAACAGCAAAACCAAAAATTGCCAATATCAAATCAATTTCTCCAGCAAGCAACTAAGAGTGTCAAAGCAAGTGACATTTGAAGTGAATATGAGCTTTTGGATCACATGTGCTTTTCTTGAGGTAGATAACCCAGGAAGCATAACTGATATATGGTCGGACAGGTTTTTATAATCGCCTCCACCCTCTGGTCAATATATTCTTCTGTTTCACTGTAGGTCATCCTCATTTTCTCCTCACCGAGTACAGCTGGTGGATTACTATGCAAACTATACCACACAGAAGACTTTACTCTGTCTTCTAGCATGGAGACCCTCTGGCACTTCCAATACACTTTGATTTTATTCTGTATTTCAGTGCTGAATACTACAGGGTAAGTAGCACAGTACTGAATTCAGCTTAATTCAGGAAGCTTAGCTGTTAATGATAAATATCCTTTCTTCACTTTTTATATGTGGAATGTTTCTTCCCTTTTTCAATGTGGAATATTGTACAACTGAACCATGTCATTGAAAAAAAGAAGAAATAATTTAAATTTTTAGTTCAGTTGAATAATTTAATTTTGCCTAATTCTGCACTGGCTCCTGTCTGTGTGAAAAACCTGTAATGTGGATTTTTGATGGCACATCTGAAGAGGAGAGATCTTGACAGAATAACCACAGTAGTTACAGAACACTAGAATATATCTAGGCTTAGGACTATCTGGCTTAGGACTTACCTGATTTGTAACAATTAAAAGACAGCACTGAATAGAGATGAGTGGCAACTTGTCACAGCTTTCCCTTTTTCATGAGAGAAGAGATCCAAGAAGGAACAGTGAAGAAAATTTTCTTACTTTATCTCTCTTTCCATATTCTCTTTCCTCCTTAGCCTTAGCTTGGTCAGTTCTCCAGTTGCTTGCTGCATTTCACTGATGAATTGATTGCGTGGTATTTGCTCCTAATGTCCCTAGGTTCTCTGAATATCATTGCTTGGATTTTGAAAGGCAGTGGGGCCATTCACTGTGATGCATTCACTTAAGGGCAGATTCTATATACTGTGTCAAGTACAATAAGAACAATTAAGGAGGCACCACAGAGGTTAGAACTGAACCGTTCCTCCAGAAACTGGGGGGCACCGTCAGAGTATGTCAGGAACTACTATTGTAGCCTTGCAGTCCCTATACAAAACACCCAAAAAGCAGAGCTATTTATGCTGTGATCTGTGACGGGATTTTGGTCCTGTGTCAAATCATCTCTGTGGGAGCATGTAGCACCACAAGGAATGTGCATTTGTAACTGCTTTTGTTCTGCAGCACTTTCAGGGTTAATTCGAATAGCTGAATGAGGTGGCAGCTCATGAGGTGAATGAGGTGACTCTCAGTGTCATGAGAGACTTGCAGGAGTTAAATACGTAGCCTTCCAACAAACAACAGAGTTACATAGTACACTAGTTTACAGGCATTTATCCACTTTGCAACAGTGGTGATGACAATCCCATGAGCAAGTCCTTGCTCTTATCCTACTACTATCTGAGCTGAGCTGCATCCATCCATCCCTTATGTAGCTCCCTGTACCAGGGGAACTGGTCTCCTTTCAGTTCAGTGGGATACAACGCAGAGGATTCCTCCACATAAGATGAAATGAACATATCCCACCTTTGACTCGCTCTCTGAGCTGTATCATGAAGGAGTAAATATGTATGGGAAGAGAAAAAGTGAGACATGGATCTGGTTCTATTCAGTTATTCAGTGAAACACCCAAAGACATACGTCAAAGTCCCAACATTCTTTCTTAAATAGTTTTTGAGTCACTAATTCCACAAGGGCTTCACTGTGTTGTTTTTCTTGGCAGGATCAAGCAAAGACCAGCTGGTAGCTTGAGAGCATGGGATCCTGAAACAGGTAACTGCGTGTCATTAGTGCTGTTAATATCCAGGCAGATTTTGAACATACTAGCTGCTCTTCCTTACTTTGATGTGGTGTATTTCAGCTTACCTCACCAGATGTGATTTTAACAACAACTCAAGACCATTTTGTGACTGGACCCAGCCTTGCAATCCCAACCAGGGATTGTGGATACGAACCAAGCATGATACTCCGACTGATGGAACGGGTCCTGATGGAGACTATCCTGACGGAAGTAAGTGCTCAGATATGGCATTGTTGATTTCCTTATGACTATCTTTATTCTTCTTTCTTTGAAAAAGAAATTAATGAAACCCCTTGCAATATGCCAGTTTTGTTTCATGCTAACACCTGTCTTTGACTTTTCACTGTCAGTTACGAGTAAATTAAACTGAGTTGGAAAACTTTATCAGTGCATGAAAGTAGAAGTAACCTAGTTATGTCATGGTTAAGGCTTCACAGAAAATGCAGTGATGTGCAACAGATTCAAGAGAGGGCTTGTGCCCAAATTACACTGATACCAGTTAATGGCAATAAATTTAATGATGGCTGTACTTAATGATGGCACTAGATGATGTTCACTCTAGTAAAATGTTAAAAGATCAAGTCTGAAATCAAAGAATATCTTTAAAAAGCTTGTCCTCAGCTACACGTGACTGAAAAACTGGGGTCTAACATGGTTGTATGGTTAAACAAGTGTTTTTTATTGCTCCATCTTTATCTTTTTGAACCGCTAGTTTTGTACCAGCAGAACCATTTATGGGTGATCAGTCTGCAGTCATACTGCTTTCTGTAATTATCCCAAGACTGAAAGCTCAACTGCTGTCAGGCTCAGTAAGTGGATCAGAACAGAGTTACAATTTTTGCTAAATTATTTTCTGCACTTTTAGTATTCTGATACTGAACAATTAAAATTGCCTGTTGAAAGAAGAAATTAAATAATTTTAATTTGGATTTACACAGTAATGTTTTGGTTTTTGATTCAGTACAGACCATATACCTTTAAATGTGACTTATATTTTCTCACCAACTAAAGCATGAATGTTAGATGCTATGTGTGGAACCATACTTTCCCATACAGAAATGGTTAATCATTCCTTTCTGATTCCTTTCCATAGTCAGATGGGAGAGTTGATTTCAGCCATGCTGGGGAATGTAGCTTTGATCTTAGCCCAAGGGAAGCAAAAATTTCAGGCCTAGTAAACCAAAACATGATCTCATATTGAAGCAATTCAGACTAAAGTGTTTCAAATCCTAAAAGAAATACTGTGAGTTTCTGAATTTTGAAAGTTTGCTTCCTTTTCATAATGTAAAACCTAAATATGTTGATGGAAATATCTGCATTAATTACTATCCCTTCCATTTCGAGATAAAAAGAAATGCTGACAGGTTGGAATCTTCCCTGTGCTTGGGCTTTGCTCTCGAGACCAAAATCTTTAGAAAAAAATACATCCCACAGGAGAAGGTGTATAGCAGATTGTATTATTTTCCTTAGAGGAAAGAGGAAACTGAACATGGACCAGTAAGGCACTGTATCTGGAGGTGCTGTCTTGTGAAAGAGGCCTACATCTTTATTTGTGATCCCAAAATAATGGTTCATGTGAGATGGGATATATTTGCTTTGCTCTGCAGCTCACATTCTGATTTGGCTAACTACATGGTGCTAACCATTGCAATGTAAATTCCAAGCGCTTTCAACTTTGCATTACTAAAGATGCCCTTTATTTCTTTCAGAGTTGGGTTGTACTTCAGTTTTAAATGACATCTGACAATCTACAAAGTTTCAACCATATCTGGTTTTGGTTTTGGTTTTTTTTTTGTTTGTTTTTTTTTAATATGCAGAAGGCTATTTCATCTACCAAGAAGCAAGTAATCTGATCCCATTTGACACTAACAGACTTGAGAGCCCAGATATTATAGTGTCTGAAAAAATATGCATAGATTTCTGGTACTATATGTTTGGGTCAGAAGAAATGAATGAGCTGAGAGTGCTTATCCAAGACAGCATGGGCGAGTCTGCAGTGTGGAGTCAGAAAGGAAGCCAAAATTCCTTGTGGAACTATGGTGCCATCACTCATAGTTTTCTAACAGAGAGAAAGATAAAGGTAATACATCTTCAGAATAAATTTATTTATACAGTATCAGCATTTATTCTCCCTTTGCAGGCTGTAAAAGGTTGAACATGTAAAGCAGAAAAATATAACCTCAAGATTTGCTCAGTTTATATTTTGTAAATATAACGACCTCATGCACTATGCTGATGAACTATGAGAAGAAACAAACAACCCCCTGAATTTTACTGGTGCTATTAGTTAGGGGATAAAAATATATTTAGTTTTCCTCTTTTTCCTTCCTTCCCTTCTTCACAAAGGAAGTCAATGGCTTTAGGTGCCTTAATTAAATTCAGCTTTGTCTGCTCTGGGTTAGGGTTTGAATTGTGAGATGCTGCTTATATTGGACTTCTCTATAGAATCCAGACAACTGATTTATCAGTCAGCAGAAGATAGGGCAATGTTTCCTGAAGTCCTTACCTTATTACAGAATATATATTCTAGGCTTCTAAGGGAAGCTAGGAAAATTGTTGTACCCTCAGTTTTACTTAGCACCTTTAGAGATAGACCAGAAAGAATATTTGAAAACATGCTAAGGGAAATGGTCTGCCATTTGCCTAAAGAAATGCAGTGATTCACTTTTCTTCCTGTCTAGGTAATTTTTGAGGCTGTCCGAGGACTGACAGAGTATGGGGATACGGCACTGGACAATGTGAGAGTAAGGGATGGATCCTGTGGTAAGTCTGTTTTTGCACCTTAGAGTATACTTCTTCATCTCTGTTCAAGCTGTTGATCATTACTCAGTTCCATGTAGAAACTCCTCATGACCTTGAACCACAAAAGAGAAAAGGCAAAAACTTTATAGCTCACTTCACTTCAATGCTCTCTCTTTTGCTGTGGTTCTTCCTAAATCTTTCCACACCACCTCAAATGTTGAGAATAAGCTATCCCATTCTCTGAAAACATGACTGTTTTCACAAGGTCCAGCAAACTTTACCTTAAATCTGAAGTGCAACTCTAAACCCACCCAAAGGTATACATACTGGTCTTGGGTTCCAGATTAAAGTGCTCTAATTGGCATATTGCAGCAAATCTCAGTTCATACAAGCTCAGCAAATACAAAGTGCTGCAATAAAAAGAAGTAATGGTGAGTTATTAAAGCTGAGTTGCACCACCACATCTGACTATAAATCAACAACATGAATTTGAGCCTTGACCCTGTAACAAATCAGCTAAGACTGGCAGAAGCTGTGGATGACTAGAATCTGGAAGTGAAATACAGTTTCATCCCATCTTTACTGACAAGCATGCAATACTTACAGAATGTGAATTGAACAATAAACTTGCTGAAACCACGTAGAAGGTGTTGTTAGGTCTTATTAGACCTCAGTCTTTGTGAAATACTACTCATATAATGACAATAAAATGTTTCAAATTTATGCTAGCAAAGACAAGGACTTCTATTCAGGTCCATGCTCTTAGAACATAAAATTTTCTTTTAAATTCTGTGAAAATACTTGGGGTCTTTTCTTTTTGAGGGCTAGTGAGAGCCAGTCCTTCATTTTTCCAGGTGTATTTGCACCAGGTGTATTTCCAGGTGTACGATTCAGCCACTGGGTGGTGCACTAACATAACTCCAAAAGTGCTTCTCCCTCTGTTATACTATATAGCTACTAGTGTGATGAAAGTTGAGTTATTAGGTCCAGAAAAGTCAAAGTCCTCCCAGCCTTTTTGTTTCTACAAGAATGTTTGATTGAATAGGTATTTTAATCAACTTATAAAATACTAAATGTATGTCTATTTGTCACATGAAAAAATAGCTTCCAAGGCAAGTTTGTGATGAGTTTCTTCAGTATACACTAGACTTCAAGTTACGTGAAGTCTATTGGTTTCTTCTATATTACAAATAGTAAGTATTTTGCAAAACCCCCACATCCAGCTCAGTTTGAATTGCATAGTTAGCACAAAAGCAGTATGGTCATAGTATGTAGTTACTGAATCGTTACTCAAAAATCTCTAACTTGTTCTTGTATAACTTCTTTTCTGTATTACAATTTAATTCGTATAAATACTGTCATTAGCAATGTCAGTGATACGGAAGAACAACTGCCTTACTTGTGGATTCATTTGAATGGTTATACACCTATAGTGCATCTATAAGTAGGTTGGAAAGCATTACCTTCCATGAATCAATTCATCACTTGGTCATCTTCTTGTGCAATGACTGTTATCACACCCTCAGTGCACAGTGGAGGGCTCATTAGGATGCAGTAGAAGAGTACCTGAATGAGGAGAGCATTCTTTGTTTTGCAAAGGGGCAGGAGTGAATGCATGCATGCTCTGAGGTTAGTCTGTTGTACTTCCAGAGATTCAGATCCAACACTCATTGGCATGTCACCAGGTTAATGAACATGACATGGGAATACTCACCCTGATGTTTCTAGACCACACATACAAGTACACCAAAAGGATCACTTCTTTTAGAAGACATCTTTCTGATGGGTAAATATAGGTTGAGGAGGTGCAAATGCTTATTAGCAAGCAGAAGCAGTTGGGAGGGAAGACTCTGCAGCATGACTGTTTGTTGTGTCTGTCAGTAGAAAGCTCTTACAGCTGTCACATTCCCAAGACATAAATATAATTTTAAAGGAACAACAGAACTCTCTGATTAGAAACTGCCAGTGCCCTGAGAATTATTTTTTTTTCTGCTATACGGCATCTGTTGACAAGCTGCTGACTTGCAGACCAACCTAAGAATCAGACAAGCTTTTCTAAGCACTCAAAAGACCTATGTATCCTCATTTTTAAATATAGGCAGTCCCACTTCTAACTTTATGCTGGTGAAGAATAAGAAGAAATTAATGTATGTTGGTGTGTAAGTAGTGTTCACCCTATAATGTCGCAACTCACTGTATTTCTTTTCTATTAACAGAAGCTGTCGCTACCCCTGTACCACCAACAACTGCACCAACAGAATCTACACCATCTTCAGTGACAGGTAATTTTAGACAATCATATGCTAGCCAGTGGGTTGTAGAAGGACACCTAAAGCTTTCACTCTCTGTGCTACTTATTTGCCTCTGTTGATTTCTTTGGGTATATCTGTTATGGCCATATAAATCTGCCTTTTCTGTTTCAGTTTTTCCATATGTAATCTATAAAATGGGGATGATTGTGCTTTCCTACTGCACAGCAAGGTGGCTTTTCTGGATGTATCCATGTGTTAATGAGAACATACTCCTTTTTCCTGTCTCCAGAAGCAATTTGCAGTATACATGGAGATCCTCACTATGACACATTTGACAAGCAGCTTCATGACTTTATGGGCACCTGCACTTATACCCTCTCCAAGCTGTGCGAGAGCAACAGTTCGCTGCCCTATTTCAACATAGAAGCAGCCAATGAGCACAGGGGAGGCAACACTCGCGTGTCTTACATCCAATACGTGGATGTTGATGTGTATGGCTACAGGATTAATCTGGGTAAAAACAGAGTTGTTAAGGTAAGGTTAGAGCCCACTATCTATCATTAGTAGTTCATAGCCTGAAAGAAGAATGACTACAAATTTTATCACACATGCAGTAATACTTAGAGGGCAATCAGATATTTAGGAGTAGGAGTAGTGTGGAGCTCTTAAGATTGGAATTTCAGAACTGAAATCATAGGCTACAGTTTTGTGCTTTGTAGCTACAAGTTGGGATTAGAACTGACACCCCAGAAGGTGTTGGTGGGCTAGCCTATCTTTCTAGCTTGCCCTGCATGCTCAAGCTGGGTCTGAATCAGGGAATAAAAAGGCCCTGCATTAACCCAGTCTACGCTGGTAGTTATTTCCTGATTCTGAGTGGTATCCTGTAAAACTTCATGCTTATCCCTGATTTCTAGTTATTAGACATCACTGCTAACTTCCCTTGACACCTGGCACTTGCTATAAGCATGACCAGATGAGAGTCCTAGAGTGACAATCTGATGACTCTCCTCACACTCACCCATTGTGTCACTTTGCCAGTTATTGTATTTTAAGGCTTCTTTATGGCACCTTTCCATAAAGGGACAATAGACATGTTTGATTCAAACCCCAAATAAATGAGTAGGTCACCTTACTTTGCTACCAACCTTCTTTTAAGAAAATAGTATAGTGATTTAAGTAATAGGAGACAAGGTTTAAAATGTACATTGAGACCTTTCATATTTGATCTTAGAAACATAGTAAACTCATATATCCACATTTGTCTATGGCTTCTCTTTTATAGCTTTTATAGCTTTCATAACTTGTATAGCTTTTATAACTTGTATATCTTTTATAACTTGTATAGCTTTTATAACTTGTATAGCTTTTGTAACTTGTATAGCTTTTATAACTTGTATAGCTTTTATAGCTTTCCCTTCTATTTACATTTTTTATTATGTATGTGTTTATTTTTTTATATATATGTTTCTAAGTAAACCAGACTTTCTTACATATGTAATAAGAGCAAATATTCAAAGTAGATACTAATTTTAGCAAATTTTAAAGGATTTGAAGTTTTTTTGTTTGGGTGCTTACTTTTTATCGTCTGGTGTTTCAAACATGACGTTTGAAAGAGAAAAAAAAACACCCCAAACAAAACAAAAAGAACCTTTTTCAAGATTTGACCTATCCTGAAAATTTTATGAGAATTGATTGTAGCTACATCTTTTTTAATCTTACCTAAAATAAAAGACTACTGCTGAGAGATCATGCCAAGTCTTGGATTTCTGCCAGTTGGGTCTGGTTCACCAAGCTCACTTTGACTGCACTTGGAAACTATGTAGCTATGTTATTATGGCCTCCAGGTCTTAGACTATGCCCACATATACTACATTCATGGTAAATAATACTTAACCCAATATGAATTCTTACTGCTCACTGTGTAAGTCCTATGCTCAGGAAAGGGGTGTGATCTAAGAGGGTCGTGATTAAAAATACTTCTTTTGACGTTATTATAATGACTATCCTTCTCTGTGCCTGCAGGTTAATGGAGTCAGCCAGGTGCTCCCTCTGACCTTGGTGCAGGGTGTCAGTATTTCCCTCAGTGGGCAGTATGTGGTGGTTACTACTGACTTTGGGCTGAATGTCAGGTTTGATGGAAATCACAGAGCACAAATCACTATTCCCAGTACCTATATGTCTAAAGTTTGTGGAATATGTGGAAATTATAATGGGCACAAGGCAGATGACTTCCTTAACCCAGATGGAGAGATGGAAACAAACTCAGCCAGCCTTGGCAACAGTTGGCAAGTTTACAATGATTCCAGGTAGGACTACAAATGCCATGCTGGGCCTTAGCTGTTGGTTATGCAATGATAAGTATTTTCAGCAAATGTTGTACGTGTACCAAAAATGTCAGGCACATGGGACAAAATATATTCTTGTTAGTGTGCTTACTTTTATCTGTCTGGGTAAAGTTTCATAACAAATGTAACTGTGCCTAAAAAGAGAAAGTGTGAATAAAACACTGCAGATACCACTAAGATTTCTGTATTGTTATAGTATATTAATGCTAATACTTGAAGATCTATTTGAACTCTTCTGAAGATACTTCACTATTTATTTTATAATTTCACAGTATATTATTTAATGATAGTAGAGGTTTAACTTTGAATGCTTTTACTTTTTTTTTGCCCTTCCTCTAGGTATTTTCCATGTAGAAAGCTTGACTTAAAAGAAAGCCAAAATAAATATTTGGATTTCTTCTAGGCCTCTCAAAGGTTATAAGGTTGAAATCATATTAAAATCTGAATTTCTATCCCAAGTGTTTGAAATGTAGAGCTTTAAAATACGCCATGCCTATCCTGGGTCAACCCTGTAGTTTTGTTAGATCTGAGTTGAAAAGCATCTTAGGCGCTAGTCCATCCCAATTTCATTAGTGAATTTTTCTACATGCTTTTTTTTTTTTTTTTCTTTCCACATTAGGTGCTTGCCAGATGATGGTCATACTCCAAGTTGCACTGCTGATGAAAAACATGTCATCCAAAGCAATGAATATTGTGGTCTGATCACAGATCCCAGTGGTCCATTCCAGAATTGCCACTCAGTAATTGATCCACAGAGTTATTCTAAAGCCTGCCAGTATGATCTCTGTGAACTTCATTTGAACAATGCAGCCCTCTGCCAAAACCTGCAGGCTTATGCAGACATGTGCCAATCTGCAGGAGTCCAGCTGACACCGTGGAGAAATGCAACCTTCTGCCGTATGTATCAAAATTTACTGGAAATCACCACTTGTCAGGAGGCTGTAATTAGGACTTCCTGAATAACTTCTGTATTTCTTGTACAGAACAGTACAAAACATTGTTTTGAATTCATATGCCATTGTGAATCTTGGCTGTTCATGCTAAAGATTTCAGGGTTGCATACAGTCCTCAGTTTGATTCTCTCAGGAAAGGTCTAGTGAAAATAGTTAAGCTGCTTCGGACGAAAGGAGAAAATACTGTCTAGTCCATCTTAAAATAGAATTGGAGGCTTTTGCTTTGAAATCCTCTAGTGTCTCTAATATTTGTTCAGGGGTATTAAGTATGTCAGGGACATATGACTTAGAGGGATTTTTACCTTCTGAAGAAGCTATGCCTAAACTTAAATGTCTTTGAGAGAAAAAAAAAAAGCCTCTGCACATGCTTAGTAGATGTCTAAGAGTTTTATGCACCCTTCCTGCTGAGAGTCAGAGCTGCCTTCTTCTGTACTCCCAGCCTCTCTACTTCAGAGTGATCAGACACCCAGTTAACAGAAGGGAAGCTGTGTCTTCTCCTCTTGCAGCAACCTCAGCAAAAACACATCAAGGTGGGTAACTTACATGAACATAGAAATTATATGAGCCTGAGCAGATATGAGGTAGAGCCGTAGATGTGGATAAGGAATCCAGGCAGTCTGGGACAGTGAGAAAGGACCTCTAACTAGGAGCTGGAGAGGACTAATGAATAGGCTAAGAGAAAGACCCTGGATTTAGTGGAAGCAAGTAGGAGCTAGAAAAGAAAATGAGAATTTGTTTAGAAGTCTAGAGAAGAGAGGAAGAATAGGTTGAAACTGGCTAGGCAGAGAGCCAAGGACCCAGAAGCACAGACTAGATAGCTGGTCCAGGAGTCACAGCTTGTTGGTCTTGCAAGAATAATAAAATCAGAGTTGATGGGAGGAATAACTCTGAGATCAGACAGAGAGACTATCTTAATCTCACAGTTTGTATCAGTGCAAATAGAGCAGGATGAAGGAGGAGCACATCTGACGAACTTAGCAGGAGAACTGGGATGAAGGGAGAAGGACAGTATTGGAAACACTATCAGTGGCACAAACTCCCATATGTATAAGAGAGAAGGGGTTGCTGGCCATTCACCCCTGTGGATGGCATCAGTGTGTTCTGTACAGGCATAGTGATTCATGGTTTCAGATGGGAGAGGAAGCAACACAGGTAGGCAGCCTGGAATTAAAGGCCAGTACTGAAGCAAGAAGCCTGCGCAATGGAGATTGTTAACCACAATAATGGAAGTGGAGATTGTAGTTGAGGATGTAGAGGAGACAGAAACAAAATACTTGACAAAAGATGTCAAGTACTGAAGTAATAGAAGTCTAAGCTGGAGATTAAATAGGAATAATGACCTTTCTTCTGTGAATGTTCGTAAACATTACATCAAAAACATTTCTCAAGCTTTCAGGCACCTATTATAGAAAAAAAAGGAGAAAACCCCCCAAACGACAAATAAAGCATTTTGTCTTTGGAATAGAATTTAAATATTGCCTGAAAGTCCTGGACAGATCTGCTTCCACCAGAAACAATGCAAATGGTGATCCAGTGCTCTATGTGCCTTTTGCACTGAAGGAGATGAGGAGACTGGAGACTTGGCTGTAAACACTTGAATGACTAAGTCCTGATTTCTTTCTGGCTTTTGTTTCACATTTGACTGCAGTCTGTAGGTGGAGCATTTTCTCTGCTGGGGGCATTACGGAAGTTTTCTCTCACATATATTCTATGGTTTCTGAGCAGGAGTGAGCCCTCTCTGTAGCTGTTATTTCTGCTTGTAGGATCTCTCCTCTTACCCTTATGCCTATTTCAATTAATGGACCTGGATATGTTTTTGTCCTCTACCAATGTCACCAGCTTGTTTCCAATAAATCAGCTGGGTCAAATTTAGTACGTGGGAGGATGAGCAGAGAAATGTACAATAAAATTCTGTAATCTCTGTCTTCTTAGGAAAGCAGACTAAAAACAGGGTGAGAAAATCTGTGATTATAAACTGAATGGCATCACGTAAACACATGGAACCTGAAAAGATTGTTCAGGAAACTTCAGTTCTGACATCTTCTCACCTGAAAATCTCAGTATTTAAAACCTCTAAATAACTTGGGTATCTACATGTTGTGCATGTAATGATATGTAAAAATAGAATAGAGGACTTCTACATCCTGATTATTTAACAAATAATGAAGACCTTGGTGAAATAAAAAAATATTAATTAAGAAGCCATAAGATAATTAGAATTAAATATCAGGAATATTACCTAAATATGGCACATCCTTGACAATGTTCAAGGCCAGGCTGGATGGAATCTTGGTTGACATGGTTTAGTGCAAGGTGTTCCTGCCCATAGCAGAGGGGATGGAACTAGATGATCTTAAGGTCCTTTCCAACCCTAACTATTCTATGATTTTATGATTTTATGATTCTATGACTAGGACAAATAACTAACATGACATGGATATCCTTAGCCCAATGCAAGAATTCAAACCAATCAACTTCAGCAGCAAGAGGTCTCCTAGGAAATTCCCTCCATGAGTGAAACTTTCAATAACCCAAACCTAAAAAGAAGGGTGGTAAGACAGCAAAGGCATGCATCAAACTGCCTCAGAACTCCAAGATACACCCAAATATTTCAAATGGGATACGTATTCAAATATGCATGATAATGAAAAAAAAACCAGTCCTTCAGTACTTAAAATAGATTAATAGAAAGGTTTTTCTTTTATTACACAGCATTAGCCTGTCCAGTCAACAGTCACTATGAGCCATGTGCTGCAGCCTGCCCTGCCACCTGTGTGGACCCAATAGCACCATACAGCTGCAACCTGCCGTGCGTGGAGGGCTGTGTGTGCGACAGCGGGTACCTGCTCTACAATGACCAGTGCGTGGCCAGCCAGCAGTGTGGGTGCTGGCACAACGGGCAGCACTACCCCGTGGGCTCTGAGTTCTGGACAGACAACACCTGCTCGTCAAAGTGCACGTGTCCCGCGCGGGGAAGCAAAGTCCAGTGCTTTAACGCCTCATGCCCTGCGGGCCAGTTCTGTGGGGTGCAGGATGGGAGACCCGAGTGCCTCGAGCAATCCTACGGCATCTGCCATGTCCACGGTGACCCTCACTACAACACCTTTGACAAGGTGACGCACAACTTCATGGGCAACTGCACCTACACCCTGGCCAAAGTGTGCTCCAACACCACCTCCCTGCCCTACTTCAACGTTGAGGCCAAGAACGAGCATCGTGGGAACACCAGAGTGTCCTATGTGCGCAAAGTCCTGGTTGAGGTGTACGGGGAGCGCATTGCCATTGTCAAGCAGGAGAAGAGCCAAGTGCTGGTAGGCAGTGGGGCCGGCATGAGCATGGCACAGCTGCAAGGCAGCAAGGCAGGGCTGGCTTTTCTTGGCAGGGCATGGCATGGTGTGTACCAGACACCTTCATTGTCCCAGGTGTGGGCGGGTTCCCCTGAAGCCACTGGGTTGCTTTCTTTTACTTTTCTGGTGGCATTGAGGAGGAAGAGGCAAATGGGGAATGTGGCCGACGGTGAAGAGCGGCCCCTGCAGGGAGCAGAACACAGCCACGGCTCTGCAAGCCAGAGGGGCAACTGGGTTGTGAGGGCATCGCGGGCTCCGGTTTGCTGCGCCTGGGCTGGGAGCAGATTTCCTCGGGACAGGAGAGCCAGGAATGCCAGGGACAAGTGCAGGGCCCAGGCCCATTGCCGTGTGTCTGCCCTAGGTGAACAATGTGCGCCAGACCTTGCCGGTGAGTGCAGCGGGAGGTGCCATCACGGTGAGCAGGAGTGGCCGCTACATTGTCCTGGAGACAGACTTCGACCTCAGAGTGTCCTACGACACTGACCACTCGGTGGAGGTGAAGGTGCCCACCACCTACTTCAACCTGACCTGTGGCATGTGTGGGAACTTCAACAACCGTAGGGAGGACGATTACATGATGCCCAACGGGCAGCAAGCCGCAGACTCCAATGAGCTGGGGGAGAGCTGGCAGGTCCCAGAGAGTGACTCACCTTGCGGTGTCCCCGACCCCTCCCCACCCTGCAGTGCAGAAGAGGAGAAGCTCTACGGATCGGACCAGTTCTGCGGCATGCTGACCGCCAGTCCTGGCTCTTTTGAGAAGTGCCACGCTGTGATCAACCCGCAGAGCTACTTTGAGACCTGCCTCTATGACCTGTGTGCCCTGAATGGTGGCCAGGAGGTGCTGTGTGCTGCTCTGGAGGCCTACGCTGACGCCTGCCAAGCAGCCGGTGTGACTCTTCTTCCCTGGCGGAATGCGACCTTCTGCCGTGAGTTTCTGTAGAGATCTGAATCTTTGGATAATTCCTTTGTTGTCTGAACAGGTTGATTGTAGCCATTACCTGACAAAGTTAAGAGATCTTATGTTCTTCACATAACATTCAAAATATTTAGAAATAAAATTTTGTAAATGTCACCTCATTATTGTTTTCTGCCAGACAGAAGTTAATTTTGTTCATTATCTGAAGAATCTATCTTAAAGCAGTAACAGTAGGTCCTGATAATACGAAATCCCATCTGAGTTTTAGAAGATGTTTTGCCTTTAATATGTTGGTTCATTTCCAGACTTTGTCCAATGACTTTAACAATCTCTGTACTTCTAGAAATGTACCAGATAAAAGTACCTAGCTTCGAGAGGCATAGTTTTTACCTGGATTTGGAGATGCTTAGCATCTAGTATATATGTGTTAAGCATTCAAGCTTATTTCTTGTAGAATGTTTTTTTTCTTTTTTTTGCTTTCTGCTATAATAACAGGAAAGGAATTTCTGCTTCAAAAAATCCAGCATTGTCACTTGCTGAAAATAATCAGTCTTGAGTCGTGGTTTATGTGAGTTGTGATTGTCAATTCTGTGCTTGTTACTGTTTTTCAGCTGTTGCATGCCCTCCCAATAGTCATTACAATCCATGCACCAGTGCTTGTCCAGCAACCTGCATTGACCCTCTTGCATCAAAGAACTGCAGCAGACCTTGTCTAGAAGGATGTGAATGCAGCAATGGTTTTGTCATCAGTGGTGGAGAGTGTGTGTCCATGAGCAACTGTGGCTGCCTTCATAATGGCAGATATTATGAGGTTTGTTCTGGCACATAGTTCAGGGGCTTATTTCACAGATCAACTTTACCATTAACTCTTTTAATTTATTTTTGTTTTGTTGCCTCTAACAGAAAGGAGAAGCCTTTTGGCAAACAAACTGTGCAGGCCAATGTATATGCGCTGGAAATGGCACTGTAGTTTGCAATTCAGACACTTGTGAAGTAAACGAAGTTTGCAAGGTGCAGAATGGACTCCTGGGATGTTATCCATTGAATCCCAGCACCTGCCACATTTTTGGGGATCCACATTATATAACCTTTGATGGGAGACTCTATCATTTCCAAGGAGACTGCAATTATACTGTCATTGAGACATGCACAAATTCTTCTGAAAGGTTTTCAGTGACAACGAGAAATGAACATAGAGGAAACCCGAACTGGACTGCCTTGAACTCAGTTGCTGTCACACTGAAAAATCTTCATATTGTTTTGCAGAAAAATAAAGAAACCTATGTAAGTGTTCTACTTTAAGCATAAACAATCCATCACATCTATTTACTTTACATTTCTGTCTAAAAGAAATGAATCAGGCTTCTCTGCTTTATTCAGCTCCAAGACTGCACCTGCTAAAAGTCACAGAAATGGGTTGGGTTTTGTTTTGGAGGGGGAGTGGGGGTTGTTTGGATTTTTTTTTCTTCCCCAGAAAGGCAGGAATCAGCATAGCTTCCTTCTGTCAATTCAAATCTTTTTTAAGGTTGTGGGAAAGTATCAACTTCATCCATAGCCTCATCTAAAACAGAAAGCTTTTGCTGAACTAAATCTCAGTCTGAATTTTGTAGATCTCGTCTTTAAAATATAAATAATATTTTTGCTATACACTGTCAGGATCATACTTACCAGAACTTTAAACTAGGTATTCCAAGTATTGCTATGTGTGTAGTTCTGACAGCACGGAGTTCAACTTGTGCTAAATAGCACTGTTCAAGATGTGGGATAAGTATACACCCCGTAATCCTCTGTTAAGCTTCAAACTTCTGTGTCTACATTGTTCATTAGCATAAGGCTGACTTGGTGAAGAAAGATATAGTTCTGGCAGTATAGACCTCCCCTTTGTTACTGGGAGCTTTATTGACTTACCTGGTTGTCTGGGTTTTGTTTTCTTTAGGTGAATGGAGTTCGGGTTTATCTTCCTGTGGATTTGAATCATGGAGCCAGAGTAGCTATAAAAGGACATTATGTGGTCATTGATACCTCTGTAGGGATACAGGTTAAGTTTGATGGTGACCAGGAGCTTTTCATTCTGGCTGACGAAAGCCTCAAAGGACAGCTGTGTGGTCTGTGTGGGACATTCAATGACAACCAACTGGATGATTTTCTAAGACCAGATAAAGTCATAGAACAGGATCCAAATAAATTTGGTGACAGCTGGTTAGTGAAGGATGACAACAGGACGTAAGTATCTGATATTTTAGGAAACAGCAAAATGCCTGAAACAAACTCATCTAGTTATAGGATTAACATACATGACTTACATTCCATAGTAGCCCCTCTTTGATGTTACTTGTTTGCTAGTGGTTTTACTTTTTAATAACTCCACTTTTTGGTAGAAAAGAATTGAAACTTTAAAACCACCCTTGAGAGGTTTTCCATGTGAACTTTGTAGATTATATTTGAAACTGGACTCTTTTTTTTCATATAACTTGTTGTTTTTTTTTCCTTATTTCTCCATTCTAAAATATCTTCTTTATATTATCTTACTATAAGAAGTCTAAGTATATCTCTCAGATTCAGCTCCTAAGATAGCTCCACATTTATTAACATAGCCATCGGATATTTATCTGTCTATTAATGCTTTCACCTACAAATTACTGCTCTTATTATATGCAATAGTGAATTGAAATTATCTTGCTTGGCTTAGATAGCTGATTTGTTGGTTCCTTCTCGATTTCGTTCTACGGATAGACAGTCATACATCAACAATTTACAGTTATACTCTTAATGGGTAAATGCAAGTTGAATTGTAATATTTCTCACTTTGGGGTTTGACACACTAAAGATGACTATACACAGCAAATCTACAAAATTTGGCCTAGGCTTCTGTTACTGTTGAGGTATGCTTTGCAGGATAGGACAGAATATAAAGATGTATTATATAACCAAACTGCTGCTTATTTTTGATGCAGGTGTAGTCCAGTTGCAGTTGTACCACCTACTTGTGACACAGCAAAAGAGAAAGAATATGAAGAACTCTGCAAAACTATTTTGAAAAATAGTGGGCCTTTTCAGGTCTGCCATTGGCACATTCCCCCACAGCTGTACTTTGAGAGCTGTGTCTATGACATGTGTGCTACAGAGGGGAATTCTGATCAGTTTTGCCAGATTTTAGAGGCATATGCTGCTGCTTGTGAACTTAGAGGTGTAAATCTGGGTGAATGGAAGAAAGATACCATCTGTGGTAAGTCATTAGGTCATTTAGCAAACAGCTGTCCAATTAAATCTTCATGCTACAAATATATATTTGAATGACTAAGAGGTTGAGCAGAATTTCAGAAAAGGAGATTAAAAGAAATACAGGAAGCTTTCAAGTGCTTAGCATGTCCTGAAATTTGGTTTATAATCTAAGCTTCTAATGGTCTTGCATTATTCACTTTAGAAGGTGATGTTTGAGCACTTTTAACCTAAGACTGTTTTCAGAATTGAGTCATGAAATACAACATACATTGTAAATCAACATCTCAGTCAGGGACAATTGAGCACTGTCTGACAAATCACTTCTTTGGCTTTAATAAAATAGTTTATCTTTTTTGAGAAGTGTTAAATTATGTGACTTACATAACCTGTCTACAGACCTAGGTTTCAGGAAGCATGTAAGATGAATTCAGAAATATATAAACCAGGGCTTTAAAATGAATAAAGGGAAATTGTGTACCTTGCGGTCCATTCAGCCTTCCAGTTGTAACACTATTAGGCCCTTACCTAGATAGACTAGTTAACATAGAATTACGGCTAGAGACAAGAAATTAATAGAATAATAGAATAGTTTGGGTTGGGAGGGACCTGTAAAGGTCATTTAGTCCAAACCGCTGCAAGGAGAAGGGCCATCTCAAACTAGATCAGGTTGTTCAGAGCCCTGTAACCTTGAATCGTTTCCAAGGATAGGACATCTACCGTTTCTCTGGGCTACCTGTTCCAGTCTTGCACCACCCTCATTGTAAAAAAAAATTTTCCATATACCCTTAAATTTCTTCTTCTAGAACTGCCAAAGGTGATTACCAAAGCCAGCAGAAATAGCAGCATAAGTATAAGGCTATGACATTAAAATGCATTACATAACCTTTTTCCAATTCTGAGACAGTATTTCTCACCCGAGTTCATCAGTAGTAGAAACATTCTCGTTACGATGTCTAGATTTCTGCCTAAGCAGGACTTTGAGAGCCAGATGAATACTACTATGTCAAATAAGACAGCTTTGAGCAATTTGCAGTGACCAAGAATTATGACTGTGGCACAAAAATGTAGGATATTAGTGTATTATGATGATAACTGAGGAAGTGACTCATAAAATAACACACAATCTCAGTCACTTAAAATTTCATATTTTATAGCCAATTTGTCAATATCGGTCACTTCTTCTCATTCCATTACGATGTCTTCAAATTTTTCATGAACATGGGTGCAGAAGACCTAGAAGGGCAATGTCAGAACAGAGAGAAGATTCCAAACCTTATTGTGAAAACTCTGTTTTTCTAGCTGCACCAACAGCCTGCAATATGTCCTGTACATTTGATGTCGACTTCTGTGAGTGGAAACAGGCTACCAGTGACAACTTTGACTGGACAAGGCACAAGGGGCCAACACCCACACCAAATACTGGCCCTTCCCATGACCACACAACTGGAGGTAGGAACAGCAGACAGTATGTGGATGTGTTTCTCTTGAAAGGGGGCAAGGAGCCTCTTTTAATGGCAAATCCAGGCCACGTGTTTCTTAGGCTCAATCCAGAACCTTCTGCAGCAGTAAGGATCTGTTGTGGGGTGGATGAACATTGCAGGACATTGAGCATGTGACCTGTTAGCATCACTTCCTGTAAAGAAGCTTCAGCAAAGGTGTACCCAGGCTGACACTGGATCACTGTGGCACTTGGTCTTCCTTTAGAAGGCTTTCCTTTGCCTAAGTAGGAGACCAGTGTAATCTGGTGGAAATCCATTTGAGGACTGAGAGATTAGTGCAGAAGCTGAGTGAAGAAAAGTTATACTGTACACAATGTGTAAATGAAGTCAATTTATCTTGTGTTAGCCCATTAATGTAAAAAATTGACACTCTGCTGTTTCCAGAGGGCTACTATATCTACCTGCAAGGAAGTAAACAAGAACCGGGTGAGGTAGCACAATTGGTCAGTCCAGTGTGCAGTTCAGAAGGACCACACTGCTTCCGCTTCTGGTATCACATGTACGGAGAGGCTGAAGCAATGGCTCTGCGGGTGTATGTAGTTAACAATGAAACATCAACACTGGAATGGAAAGAGGCTGGAAACAAAGGGGACAGATGGAACTTGGGAGAGGTCACGGTGCACATCAAAGGAAACATGCAGGTAAGGGAACAGGCTGTAAATACCACATGAGATGAGACATGCTTCTTAATGGCACTTCACATATGTGGATGGACCTAATGCTGGGAATCACCTCTTCCATTAGATTGTCCTGGAGGGCATGATAGGTGAAGATTTCCAGAGCGATATAGCATTGGATGATCTGTCCATTGAAAAAGGATACTGCACAGGTAAAAGGCTTGGGTTAGGGAGGGGCAGCTTAAATGACATTATGCTTTTTGTGGAAGTACATGTAGTTCCTGTCTTGAGAAAAAGCTAGTCAAGTACAATTGATACACTTGTAACATTTTCATAGGAGATGTAACACCAACAACACCAGGTACCATTATCACATCACCTTCAGAAGACAAAACCACATCAGCACCCATGCCAGGCTCAGGTGAGTAAAGTAGACCACTCATAGGGCTGATGTTCTTTGGTGAAGGTGGGCTTAGGAGAAGAGGCAACAGGAGGTGCTTAACTGAACTCTCGTCTTTCCACTGCCAGGGACCTGTGTGGTAGAAGGAGACCCTCACTACCACACGTTTGACAATCAGCTGCACCACTTCATGGGCACCTGCACTTACACCCTCTCTAAGCTGTGCGAGAGCAACAGTTCTCTGCCCTACTTCAACGTGGAAGCAGCCAACGAGCACAGGGGAGGCAACATTCGCGTGTCCTACGTCCAATATGTGGATGTCGATGTGGCTGGCCAGCGGATAAGGCTGGGGAAGGGTGGTTCGGTGACGGTAAGCACAAGGAAGAGAGGCACTGTGCTGTGTGAGAGGAGAGGACTGTGTCGAATGGGTCGCTCCAACCCTGTCTTGTTTTCTGTCCTTCCAGGTCAATGGAGTGGCAGAGGTCCTGCCTTGCACCCCATCCGCAGGTGTGCAGGTCTCGGCCAGTGGGTTCTACACTGTGGTCACAACAGACTTTGGCTTGAAAGTGAAGTTTGATGGGAGCCATCGGGTGGAGGTGACGCTTCCGAGCACCTTTGGGCAGAAGGTGTGTGGCATGTGTGGCAACTTCAACGGGATGGCATCAGATGACTTCCTGAACCCGGAAGGGGTGCTGGAGCCAGACTCCACCAGCCTGGGCAACAGCTGGCAGGTGTCCAACGACAGCAGGTATGTGTTGTCCCCCAGCAGGTCTGGGGACGTGTCGGGCAAGGGTATGTTGAGACACGAGGAGAAGCCCACAGGTGACTCAGGGGCCCTGCTTCCTGTCTTTCCACAGCTGCTCAGCCGGACCACTCCCCACCCCAGCCTGCAGTGAGACAGACAAGGAAGTCATAGCCAGCAGCCACTTCTGTGGGCTCCTCACCGACAGCGGCGGCCCGTTCCAGATGTGCCACGCTGTGCTGAGCCCCAGCAGTTACTTTGACACCTGCTCTTATGACCTGTGCGAGCTGGAGCTGGACCACGAAGCCCTGTGCAAGAGCTTGCAGTCCTACGCGGATGCCTGCCAGTCGCTTGGTGTCAAGATACCTGTGTGGAGGAACGCAACCTTCTGCCGTAAGTCCACACACGGTACCACAGACTGTTAACTCTCAGTAAAACATAGAATTGGAATGAAGGAGTGGGGTGGGGAATAATAAATGTTTTTGTTACGTGCCTTGCGGATTTACAGGCAGTTGTCAGAATCAGGGGCACCGTTTTCTGCTTCGTTTGCTCAGGTATGATTCAGAATACCCGTGCAGCCAAGCAGATCACAGAGAAAATAATGCAGACGATTAATTTTCCAAAGGGTAGAATACAGCACAGAGACATCATCTAATGGCCATATGTTCTGTCTCGGCAGCTGTCACCTGTCCAGCCAACAGTCACTACGAGCCGTGTGCTGCAGCCTGCCCTGCCACCTGTGTTGATCCCATGGCTCCTGCCAGCTGCAGCCTGCCGTGCGTGGAGGGCTGTGTGTGCGACAGCGGGTACCTGCTCTACAATGACCAGTGCGTGGCCAGCCAGCAGTGTGGGTGCTGGCACAACGGGCAGCACTACCCCGTGGGCTCTGAGTTCTGGACAGACAACACCTGCTCGTCAAAGTGCACGTGTCCCGCGCGGGGAAGCAAAGTCCAGTGCTTTAACGCCTCATGCCCTGCGGGCCAGTTCTGTGGGGTGCAGGATGGGAGACCCGAGTGCCTCGAGCAATCCTACGGCATCTGCCATGTCCACGGTGACCCTCACTACAACACCTTTGACAAGGTGACGCACAACTTCATGGGCAACTGCACCTACACCCTGGCCAAAGTGTGCTCCAACACCACCTCCCTGCCCTACTTCAACGTTGAGGCCAAGAACGAGCATCGTGGGAACACCAGAGTGTCCTATGTGCGCAAAGTCCTGGTTGAGGTGTACGGGGAGCGCATTGCCATTGTCAAGCAGGAGAAGAGCCAAGTGCTGGTAGGCAGTGGGGCCGGCATGAGCATGGCACAGCTGCAAGGCAGCAAGGCAGGGCTGGCTTTTCTTGGCAGGGCATGGCATGGTGTGTACCAGACACCTTCATTGTCCCAGGTGTGGGCGGGTTCCCCTGAAGCCACTGGGTTGCTTTCTTTTACTTTTCTGGAGGGGTTGAGGAGGAAGAGGCAAATGGGGAATGTGGCCGACGGTGAAGTGCGGCCCCTGCAGGGAGCAGAACACGGCCACGGCTCTGCAAGCCAGAGGGGCAACTGGGTTGTGAGGGCATCGCGGGCTCCGGTTTGCTGCGCCTGGGCTGGGAGCAGATTTCCTCGGGACAGGAGAGCCAGGAATGCCAGGGACAAGTGCAGGGCCCAGGCCCATTGCCGTGTGTCTGCCCTAGGTGAACAATGTGCGCCAGACCTTGCCGGTGAGTGCAGCGGGAGGTGCCATCACGGTGAGCAGGAGTGGCCGCTACATTGTCCTGGAGACAGACTTCGACCTCAGAGTGTCCTACGACACTGACCACTCGGTGGAGGTGAAGGTGCCCACCACCTACTTCAACCTGACCTGTGGCATGTGTGGGAACTTCAACAACCGTAGGGAGGACGATTACATGATGCCCAACGGGCAGCAAGCCGCAGACTCCAATGAGCTGGGGGAGAGCTGGCAGGTCCCAGAGAGTGACTCACCTTGCGGTGTCCCCGACCCCTCCCCACCCTGCAGTGCAGAAGAGGAGAAGCTCTACGGATCGGACCAGTTCTGCGGCATGCTGACCGCCAGTCCTGGCTCTTTTGAGAAGTGCCACGCTGTGATCAACCCGCAGAGCTACTTTGAGACCTGCCTCTATGACCTGTGTGCCCTGAATGGTGGCCAGGAGGTGCTGTGTGCTGCTCTGGAGGCCTACGCTGACGCCTGCCAAGCAGCCGGTGTGACTCTTCTTCCCTGGCGGAATGCGACCTTCTGCCGTGAGTACCTGCTTTGCAATTGCCGGGAGGGAAATGTTCCGCTCCCTGTTCCCAGAACCTCTGGCCACAGCAAGTCGTTTGTTTGCCACTTCTCAGAAGGTCCTCCTTCCTTGAAGGCTTGCTGGTCTCAACTGTCCCCTTCCCATTGCAGCCCTGCTGTGCCCCGACAACAGCTACTATGACCCTTGCATGACTGGCTGTCCTGCCACCTGTGTTGACCGACAAGCCCCGCAGAACTGCTCCAAGCCCTGCATGGAGGGCTGCGCATGTACCTCTGGCTTCCTTCTCAGCGGAGACACGTGTGTGCCCGAGGCCCACTGTGGCTGCCTCTTTGAGGGCAACTACTACAGCGTGAGTGAAAACCCTGCCCTGGCTTGCACCCCTCCCAGGGCACTCCCTTGCCTCTGCTTTCCAGCCTGATAGACTGACGCTCGGTGTTTGTCTGCCTGCAGGAAGGCGAGTATTCTGTGAGCGAGGACTGTGCTCGCCAGTGCCGCTGTGAAGCCAAGGGCCAGATGGTTTGCTCTCCGTTGTCCTGTGGTGAGGATGAGGTCTGCAAGATCCAGGACGGCCAGAGGGGCTGCTACCCAGCCAGCACCGCTCTCTGCCACATCTATGGCGACCCGCATTACAGCACCTTCGATGGGAAGCTTCACCACTTCCAGGGCTCTTGCAACTACACAGTGGTGACAGGCTGTGACAACTCCTCCGCTGGGTTCAGTGTCACCACCCGCAACGAACATCGTGGCAGCCTGAGCTGGACAGCTCTGAACTCGGTGGCACTGTCCATGGAAGGCCTCCACATTGCCCTGCGCGAGAACAAGGCGGTCTACGTAAGCCCCTCGTTTTTACACCTGGGAACAACGGATGCCCTGGCCACCCTTAAGTACCACTCTGTCCCCGAGAAGAGCTTGATGTTCCCTGAGCCTGCTGGTGCGCTCGCATAAGAGCATGGCGAGGCTCTGAGTGGTGCTGAAATGGCTGCTTGTGCAGCAAGAGATTTTCGGCTTGTTTTCCTTAGCTTTCAGTGTGGCGTCTGTAGTCGCTGCTGTTCTCATAGGCCTGGGCAGGGTTTCTCATGCCATTCGTCCTCCTGACTCCCAGGGCCCTGGCACTGTCAGAGTGGAAAAGAGTGAACTCTCAGTGGAGGGCATCTGTTTATGCTTCTGTCTCGCTCTGTCCCTCTTATTCAGATCAACGGTGCTCTGGCCTCCCTGCCTGCTTCTCCTGCCCCCGGTGTAAACATTTCCCTGAGTGGCTCCTACGTGTGGGTTTCTACCGAGCTGGGCCTGCAGCTGCTGTTCAATGGGGATGATGAGCTCCTAGTGAAGGTGTCTGAGAAGCACAAGGGCAAGCTGTGTGGGCTGTGTGGGACGTACACTGGGAACCAGCAAGATGACTTCATGCGACCTGATGGGGTTGTCGTGCCTGACTTCAATGACTTTGGGGCCAGCTGGATGGTGCCGGATGATGAATGGCCGTGAGTCCTTGTTCCACTGCATAGATGACGGACAAAAGGGAGCATGGGAGAGGGGAGCTGTGAGGGGCAGAAGCAGGGAGGGTTGGTAATGGTAGGCATGGGCACATGGTGTGTGGGAGAGGAGGAGGCAGTTGTGACAGTGCGCGTGAGGGCACGCAGAAGCTCCACTGCAACAGACGCATCGTCCTTGCATCTCACCTCTGCTCCACCCAAGAGTGGGATGTCTTGTGTGCAAATGGGTGCCAGACGTGTGGCCGTTCCCCTTTCCTCTCAGGGCTGGCTTGTTTGTGGCACTGTCCAGGCCTCTCCATGCGGTCAGGGTGCATGGTGCTCTCTGCTCTCTCCCCATAGGCGCTCAGCTCTGTGGTCCTTGGTGACCTCTGTGCATGGCTCTGCCCTCCCAGTCCACTGTGAACCATTTTGCCCACCCTCGCAAGAGACAGCACTTGGTGCCTTCTCTTATCGAGGGCTGTGGACTCCAGAGGCTGAGGTTTTGGCTGGGACAAGGTCTGGAAATGGTGTGGCTGGAGTCCACAGGCTGTTGTGAGCTCAGGGCTGCCTTTCTGCTTCCTAGGTGTGACCCAGCCATCAACCCGCCCCCGTCCTGCTCCCCCTCTGAGGAGGAGGCAGCTAACAAGCAGTGTGCAATCCTCACGCAACTTGGTGGCCCGTTCCAGCCATGCCATGCAGTTGTACCACCCAAGACGTACTTTGAGAGCTGTGTCTATGACCAGTGTGCCACGGGCGGCAGCACTGAGCAGCTCTGCAATGACTTGGAGGCCTATGCTGCAGCGTGTGCCGAGGCAGGCGTTGCCCTGGGAGACTGGAGTGCTGGCACTGTCTGTGGTAAGTGTTCCGTTGATTTCCGTTGTGGCCCAGATTCAAGGAATGGGGCAGCAGTGGTGGAGGTTTGCCCTGTTAAGGGGGCACTTAACAGTGTTAAGTGTGTCACTTAACAGTGCTGGTGGGCCAGCCCTTGGGTGGAGAGTCTCTTTGTGACTGGGATATTGTGGATTTCCTCTGCTGTGCTCCTTTTGCCATGATGTGGGTGTGTTTGGGAAGGCGCAACATCCCCTCTTGGGAACAAATCTCCATTATGAAACCCGTCATCTCCACCTCTCTTTCACTGTACATCCAGCAGCTCCTACAACCTCGTCCCCGTTGCCAGGCACCTCAACGCGGCCTCCACATACAACAAGATCACCAGCGCCTGGGACGAGCACAGGTACTGTTGTGTCCCATTCATGTGTTTTACTGGCTGTGCTAGGCACCCAGCTTGTGCACTTCCACTCAGTTGGCCATCCTCACCTGACCTGAACGTGCCAGGGAGGTAGGTGTGCCCTGTGGGACACAGAGAAAAGCTGGCCTGTCCTCACCCTAGAATCTCTGCTTTCCTCTCTGCGCCATACCCAGCTCCCACAGCAGACTGCAATTTTGATTGCACATTCGACAACGACTTCTGCGAGTGGGTCCAGGCAGATTACAGCAGCATTGACTGGATGAGGAACAAGGGTCCGACACCCACGCAAGATACGGGTCCGTCCTCTGACCACACGACGGGAGGTAGGAACAGCAGTCCGTACACAGCGGTCCTTCTGGCGGAGGGGTGTCCCTAGGAAGACGCAACTAACCTTTTCTAAGAGCAAATTTGGGCCACATGTTTCCTGACCTTGATCCAGAGCCTTTTTGTGGCTGTCTTTCGCAGAGCCGTCCTTCAGGAAGCGCTGCAGGGCTGGGAGTCAGCCTGTGGTACCTCAGGGCAGGCAAGGACCTGCCAGACAAGGGGGAAAGTAATGCAAAGTTTGATGACCTGGCTTGTCTCAGAACAAGAACGGGTCTCTATTTTAGGAGACGGTGGCTTCTCCAGTAGCCAGCGATGAGTGGAACGCAAAGTGGCAGAGCCATGCGAGGACTGTGGCAATGCATTGGAGGTTACCCGGTCCAAGCCATACAGAGAGCATGGTTCATAGGCGGACTGTCGTGGTTTAAGCTCAGCTGTAAATCACGCAGTCGCTCTCTCACTCCCCCCTTTCCTTTCCTTTCCCCGCTCCCGGAGGGTGGGGAGGACAATCGAAAGAATGTAACTCCCATGGGTTGAGGTAAGAACAGTTTAGTAACTGAGGTATAGCACAAACCACTACTGCTACCACCAATAATAATAATGATAAAGGAAATAACAAGGGAGAAAAGCCTACAGCTTTCCCAGGATTCCCAGGCAGCCTCCCATCCAAGTACGAACTAAGCCTGACCCTGCTTAGCTTCCGAGATCAGACGGGATCGGGCATTTTCAGGGCGGTGTGGCCGTAGGCCTGCTTTGGCCGCCACCAGGTGAACCCAGGACACGGACTCAGGCCTGGGGGAGTGTTGTGGCTAGCAAAGGACCTATATTTGCTGTCCCCTCCTTTTGCCTGCCTTGAAGCCCTGGAGGGGTGCTCCAGGACTGTGCTTGGGCTGTGTCTGGCTGCTTGGTCTGGATTTGATTATGCATGGGATGGTGTGTCTCACACTGTGTTTCAGACGGCTACTACATCTACCTGCAAGGGAGCAATGCCCTCCCTGGCTTTGTGGCTCAGCTGGTCAGTCCGGTGTGCAGTTCAGAAGGACCACACTGCTTCCGCTTCTGGTATCACATGTACGGAGCGGCTGAAACAATGGCCCTGCGGGTGTACGTGGTTAAGGACGAAGACCTAGAGCTGGTCTGGAGCAGCGTTGGGAACCATGGGGACAGATGGAACATGGGAGAGGTCACAGTGCACAGCACAGGAAACATGCAGGTAAGGGCACAGGCTCACTGCTGTCTGAGGTGAACCGTGCTTTCTAATGGCACTTCACACATGTGGCTGGAGCTAATGCTGGGAAATGTCCCTTCCCTTAGATTGTCCTGGAGGGTGAATGGGGTGAAAATATCCGCAGTGACGTAGCGTTGGATGATCTGTCCATCGAAGAAGGATCCTGCGAAGGTACCAGCCTTGTCTTGGGGAAGGGCAGCTTGAGAGATGTCACCGAGGTGGAAGGCTACACTTAGAGGCAGGAGCGCAGGTTCTCTTTGCAGCGCCCTGTAGGCCAGTGTTGCAGCCTGTGCCCGAGCAGGCTTTCCTCTGAGAGACTGGAGGACTGGCCGTGCCTGCAGTCGCTACTTAGTTTGTGTATTAGAAGGCGCACAGCCAAGACACCGAGCATAGGTACTGAAGAGTCTAATCTGCTTTTGTCACCCAGCTGTGATGGTGGCAGAGCCCTTGAGTGGCACGGTTCTTTCCGATCCCTGCCCTGGGCCTCTCCAGGTGTGGTGTTGATGTGTTTAGGAAGCTTGGGTCAGCTTCCTGAAGCAAAACGCACATGTGAGCTCGGATGCCCACTGACTCTCTCTTGTGCTAGATCCATCGACACCAAAACCCACGCTCCCCTTGCCAGGAACTACAACACAGCCTCCACGCACGCCGTCACCACCAAGACCCACACCGAGTTCAGGTACTCTCTTGCTCCCTCCCACTTTTCTACTGCTTGTGACAAGCTTTCAATTAGCTTTCTTCAAGGCTCATGGCCAAGAGAGGGGGTGTCTGTATTGAAGGTCTGTGCGTCAATTCCTATCACCTAGCTGTGCTAGGCGATGGGAGACCACTTGAGCGCTGGAGTATTTTCTGAGGATCACTGTGCAATCTCGCCCCTGGGCCTCTCTGGTCACAGTGTTGGGTGTTTGGGAAGAGTGGGCCTGCGGCCTGCCGCAAATCCCCCGTGCTGGCACCGATTTCCCCCAACTCTCTCTTGTGCTAGGTCCATCCACCGGAGAACCTGGGACCACCTTGCCAAACACAACTCAGCTTCCTCACACACCAAGACCCACACCAAGCTCAGGTATTGCCATGTCCTGTCCCTGTCTTCTACTGCTTGTGGCAAGTGTTCAGTTGTCTGTCTTTGACCCTCATGGCCAAGGCATAAATTTCTGTAGTCAATGCACTGCATGTCTCCTGCTATATCCATAAATGTTGGTGGGAGAGCACTTGAGTCCTGAGGAGTTTTTCTGAGGATTCGTTGTGGAATTCCTGTCCTGCGTCTCTCTGGTCATGGTGTTGGGTGTTTGGGAAGGTTGGTCAGCTTCCTGGAGCAATACTCTCATGTCAGTGCTGGTATCCTCTAATTCTCTCTTCTGCTAGGTCCATCCACCGGAGAACCTGCAACCGCCTTGCCTAGCACAACACAGCCTCCTCATACATCAAGACCCACACCAAGCTCAGGTACTGCCACATCCCGTCTCTGTCTTCTGCTGCTTGTGGCAAGTGTTCGGTTGTCTTTATTTAAGCCTCAAGACTCGGGGATGAAGTGATTGTAGTGAAGGAGCTGCGTGTCTCTTTCTGTCACTCATCTATGCTAGTGGGAGGACGTTCAAGTACTGTATCACAGTATCACAGTATGCTAGCGATTGGAAGGGACCTCGAAAGATCATCTAGTCCAATCCCCCTGCCGGAGCAGGAACACCTAGATAATGTTACACAGGAATGTGTCCAGGCGGGTTTTGAATGTCTCCAGGGAAGGAGACTCCACAACCTCCCTGGGCAGCCTGTTCCAGTGTTCCGTCACCCTCACTGAGAAGAAGTTTCTTCTCAAGTTTAAGTGGAACCTCTTGTGTTCCAGTTTGTACCCATTACCCCTTGTCCTATCATTGTTTGCCACTGAGTAGAGGCTGGCTCCATCCTCGTGACACTCCCCCTTTATATATTTATAGACACTTATAAGGTCACCCCTCAGTCTTCTCTTCTCCAAACTATAGAGATCCAGCTCCCTCAGTCTTTCCTCATAAGGGAGATGCTCCACTCCCTTAATCATCTTTGTTGCCCTGCGCTGGACTCTCTCCAGCAGGTCCCTGTCCTTCTTGAACTGAGGGGCCCAGAACTGGACACAATATTCCAGATGGGGTCTCACCAGGCAGAGTAGAGGGGAAGGAGGACCTCTCTCGACCTACTAACCACCCCCCTTCTAATACACCCCAGGATGCCATTGGCCTTCTTAGCCACAAGGGCACAGTGTTGGCTCATGGTCATCCTGTCGTTCACTAGGACCCCCAGGTCCCTCTCCCCTACACTGCTCTCTAACAGGTCGTTTCCCAACCTATACTGGAACCTGGGGTTGTTCCTGCCCAGATGCAGGACTCTACACTTTCCCTTGTTATATTTGATCAAGTTATTCCCTGCCCAACTCTCCAGCCTGTCCAGGTCTCGCTGGATGGCAGCACAGCCTTCTGGCGTGTCAGCCACTCCTCCCAGCTTAGTGTCATCAGCAAACTTGCTGATAGTACACTCAATTCCCTCATCTAAATCATTGATGAATATATTAAATAATACCGGTCCCAGTACTGACCCTTGAGGCACTCCACTAGTTACAGGCCTCCAACTAGACTCAGCCCCATAGACTACAACTCTCTGGCTTCTCTCCTTCAGCCAGTTCGCAGTCCACCTCACTACCTGATCATCCAGACCACACTTCCTCAATTTAGCTGTGAGGATGCTGTGGGAGACTGTGTCAAATGCTTTGCTGAAGTCAAGGTAGACCACATCCACCGCTCTGCCATCATCCATCCACCGTGTTATTTCCTCATAAAAGGCTAAGAGATTGGTCAAACATGATTTCTCCCTGGTGAAGCCATGTTGACTGCCCCTCATAACCCTCTTATCCTTGATACGCCTTAAGATGGCACCAAGGATAAGGTGCTCCATCACTTTCCCAGGGATGGAGGTGAGGCTGACCGGTCTATAGTTACCCGGGTCCTCCTTCTTGCCCTTTTTGAAGACTGGGGTGACATTTGCTTTCCTTCAGTCCTCAGGCACCTCTCCCGTTTCCCAAGACTTGGTAAAGATGATGGAGAGTGGTCTAGCAATGACTTCTGCCAGTTCCCTCAGCACCCGTGGGTGCATCCCATCTGGACCCATGGATTTATGGATGTCCAGATTGCTCAACTGATCTCTAACCCATTCCTCATCGACTAAGGCAAACCGCTCTGTCGACCTGACTTCATCTAAGGTCTCAGGGGTACAGGGCTCTTCAGGACTGCCTCCAGCAGAGTAGACAGAGACAAAGAAGGCATTCAGTAACTCTGCCATCTCTGTATCTTCTGTCACCAGGGCACCCACCCCGTTCATCAGTGGGCCTACATTGCCTCTGGTGTTAGTTTTGTCTGCCATGTATTTGAAAAAGCTCTTTTTGCTGTCCTTGACCCTTCTCGCCAGGTTTAATTCTAAGGATGCCTTAGTCCTCCTAGCTGTCTTCCTACGTCCTCTAGCAGCAGCCTTATATTCCTCCCAAGTGGCCAGCCCCTCCTTCCATGACCTGTAAACTCTCCTCTTCCACTTGAGCATACCCAGCAATTCCCTATTTAGCCACGCAGGTCTCTTGGCCCTCTTCCTTGACTTCCTACGTGTCGGGATGCTCCGATCTTGAGCACGGAAAAAGCAGTCCTTGAATGTCAACCATCTTGGGCCCCTTTACCTTCAATCAGCCTTGCCCATGGGATTTCCCCTAGCAATTGCTTGAAAAGGCCAAAGTTTGCCCTGCTAAAGTCCAGGGTTGCAATTCTACTTGGTATTCTCCTAGTCTTACCACACAAGATCCTGAACTCCACCATCTCGTGGTCTCTGCAACCAAGGCAGCCCTCAACCCTTACTGCTTCAACCAGATCCTCCTTGTTAGTGAGGATGAGATCCAGCAGCGCTCCTCTCCTGGTCGGCTCATCCACCATTTGCAGGAGGAAGTCATCATCCATACACTGGAGGAACCTCCTGGACTGCGGCTGGGTTGCCGAGTGGTCCTTCCAGCAAACATCAGGGAAGTTAAAATCCCCCACGACGACCACGGCCTGTGACTGTGAGGCCGCTCTCAGCTGCCTGTAGAAGGCCTCGTCAACTTCCTCACCCTGATCCGGTGGTCTGTAACAGACACCTACAACAGTATCGCCCCTGCCAGCCTGCCCCTTAATTCTCCCCCACAGACTCTCAACTTGCTCGTCATCTGTCCCTGGACAGAACTCGGTGCATTGTAGCTGCTCCCGCACATAAAGAGCAACCCCACCACCCCTCCTGGCTGGCCTGTCTTTCCTGAAAAGGACATAGCCCTCCATGACTATATTCCAGTCATGTGAGCTGTCCCACCACGTCTCTGTAATTGCCACCAGATCATAGTCTCCTGACTTAACACAGGTTTCCAACTCCTCCTGCTTATTTCCCATGCTGCGCGCATTGGTGTACAGACATTTCAGGGAGCGAGCTGAGCACACCGATTTCACCCTAGGATTATAGGAGGCCTCCCAGTCTTCATCAATTCTGGAGTGCTGTCCCACTGGGGCAAGCCCAGCTACAACCCCATCCCCCTTCGAATCTAGTTTAAAGCTCTCCAAATGAGCCCTGCTATTTCGTGCCCCAGCATCCTTTTGCCTCTGTGAGATAAACCTTCCCCACTTGTCATTGTCCAGACTGTGCCCTATAAAACCAGCTGTTATCAAAGAATCCAAAGCCCTGCCTGTAGCACCAGTCTCGAAGCCAATCGTTTATGGACTGAATCTTCCCATTCCTTCCCACATCATCAGTGGAAGATGGAAGGAGTGAGGAGAAGATCGCTTGAGCCCCAGACTCTTTCACCATCTGCCCCAAGGCCCTGTAGTCTTTCTTCATCCCCCTCAGACTGCAGGAAGCAGCTTCCCCCTCACCTGTCTGGAAGACCAGCAGTGGGTAGTAGCCTGTCGGGTGCACCAGGATGGGGAGTGCCCTGGTGATATCCCTGATCCGGGCTCCAGGCAGACTACACACTTCCCTATGATGAGGGTCAACTCTGCATATCGGGCCCTCTGTTCCTCTCAGAAGGGAATCCCCTACTACAATGACCCTTCTTTCTTTCTTAACAGAGGCAGTCTTGAGGTGCAAAGTCGACCCCCTTTTCCTATGTGGCCTTGTGGGCTGGCCCTGCCCCACATTCTCACCTACCTCTCCTTCAAGATCCAGGGCCTCGAACCTATTACTATAGTTTTCATGGAGGACTCACTGGGTGATCCCTGTTCTGCACCTCTCTGGTCATGGTGTTGGTGTCTGGAAAAGGTCTTGCTTGCAACAAAACTCCCATATTGGTGCACCTCTCCTCTACCTTTCTCTTGTTCTAGGTCCATCCACCGGAGAACCTGGGACTGCCTTGCCAAGCACAACACAACCTCCTCATACACCAGGACCCACACCAAGCTCAGGTATTGCCATGTCCTGTCCCTGTCTTCTACTGCTTGTGGCAAGTGTTCAGCTGTCTTTGACTCTCATGACCAAGGCATGAATTTCTGTAGTCAATGCACTATATGTCTCCTGCTATATCCATAAATGTTGGTGGGAGAGCACTTGAGTCCTGAGGAGTTTTTCTGAGGATTCGTTGTGGAATTCCTGTCCTGCGTCTCTCTGGTCATGGTGTTGGGTGTTTGGGAAGGTTGGTCAGCTTCCTGGAGCAATACTCTTATGTCAGTGCTGGTATCCTCTAATTCTCTCTTCTGCTAGGTCCATCCACCGGAGAACCTGGGACTGCCTTGCCTAGAACAACACAGCCTCCTCATACATCAAGACCCACACCAAGCTCAGGTACTGCCACATCCCGTCTCTGTCTTCTGCTGCTTGTGGCAAGTGTTCGGTTGTCTTTATTTAAGCCTCAAGACTCGGGGATGAAGTGATTGTAGTGAAGGAGCTGCGTGTCTCTTTCTGTCACTCATCTATGCTAGTGGGAGGACTTTCAAGTACTGTAGTTTTCATGGAGGACTTACTGGGCGATCCCTGTTCTGCACCTCTCTGGTCATGGTGTTGGTGTTTGGAAAAGGTCTTGCTTGCAACAAAACTCCCATATTGGTGCACCTCTCCTCTACCTTTCTCTTGTTCTAGGTCCATCCACTGGAGAACCTGGGACTGCCTTGCCAAGCACAACACAACCTCCTCATACACCAAGACCCACACCAAGCTCAGGTATTGCCATGTCCTGTCCCTGTCTTCTACTGCTTGTGGCAAGTGTTCAGTTGTCTGTCTTTGGCTCTCATGGCCAAGGCATGAATTTCTGTAGTCAATGCACTATATGTCGCCTGCTATATCCATAAATGTTGGTGGGAGAGCACTTGAGTCCTGAGGAGTTTTTCTGAGGATTCACTGTGGAATTCCTGTCCTGTGTCATTCTTGTCATGGTGTTGGGTGTTTGGGAAGGTTGGTCAGCTTCCTGGAGCAATACTCTCATGTCAGTGCTGGTATCCTCTAATTCTCTCTTCTGCTAGGTCCATCCCCCGGAGAACCTGGGACTGCCTTGCCTAGCACAACACAACCTCCTCATGCATCAAGACCCACACCAAGCTCAGGTACTGCCACATCCTGCCTCTGTCTTCTACTGCTTGTAGGAAGCATTCAGTTGTCTGTCTTTGAGTCACACGGCTAAGATATAAGGATTCTGTAGTGAACTGGCTGCATACCTTTGTTTATATCCCGACAGTATTTGTTGGAGAGCGCCTAAGTCCTTTAGTTTTTTCTGAGGAGACACTGGAATCACAGTCCTGGGCCTCTCTGGATATGGTGTTAGTGTATTTGGGAGAGTTGGGCCAGCTTTCTGAATTAAAATTCACATGTTGGTCCACATGTCCACTAACTCTCTCTTGAGTCCACACATGCCATCCCCACCAAGACCCACAGCAAGCTCAGGTACTCATCTCTTCTCCGTTCTCTTTTTGCCTGTCAGAATTTCTCTGTGTTTCTGATCCTTTTTCCTCAGCCAGGTGACACAGTTTTTATAGTGGAGGGTCAGAGCTTTTTCTTGCTCACCCAATATTCACTGGTGGGACAGTGCTTCAGTGTGGGATCTTCTCTGAGTAATGACAGTGTAACTCCTGCCGTTTGTCCCTTTTGCCACAGTTTTGGGGTTTTTGGTAACAGTAGACCAACTGCTTGATTGTTATCTCCCATACCCTTTATTGACATTTACATAAATATATAAAGTATCCTGTTCTATGGCAAGTTTTCAAGTGTTATACAGTTTATTGTTTGTAGGATTTTAGTTATACAGTTATTATTCGTAGTATTTTGATATTTAATTTAGTTTCCCATTTTTTTTTAATATAAACTTATTATTCTGTCCTCAAAAAGACTGAGTTGTGATTATTGTAGTTTTAATGCTTAGGAAACACTATATTTCAGTTCAGGTAAGTTTTAACTGCTTCTTTCTCCAATTTTAAGCACTAATTCTTCTACATATGTTGGCTCGTTAAGTACAAGAGGCTGCCAGCTCATCTCATCAGTTTGGATGTCTTCTGCATTTTTTATTTTTTTCTAAATAATGTTTATGTATATAATTCCTGGAGTTTTAATAGTTTATATGTAAGTGGTTAAGGTTGACATGTAGACACAACCTTAAGTGTAGCTACTTTTGTAATGTGCCATTGAAAATCAGAGAAGGATGGACCTATCTTCATTATTTTTTGTTGTGGTTAATAATCATCATAATGCACCTGCAAACTCAACTCTGCTAAGATTTGATGGGAGGATTTTTTTGTTGAAAATGGGAATTTCTTATTAGCACTCAAAACCTTACTCAGATCACACATATGCACGCTGTGTACCTCTATTTGCACATATTATCTCTGGCTAGTTAATTTTGATATTTTTAAAAAGTATGTCTGCAGTGTTCAAGAGGAATTCCATAACTGATGCAAGTACAGAACCCCAGACAGCTGGTAGCGCACCAGTCTATTCTGGCTAACGAACCCTGCACATTTTTTTGATTACATTCTTATTTATTCAGAAATAACCTTTCAGACATGGACATTAAAAACTCATTGCTCCACTTTATATAATGATGTCTTAATAATGATGCTTTTCTTGATATCAAGGCTTTCTGCTTTTATTTCACCCTCAGACTCCCACACAGATTTCTGATACTCAAGAGTACAGATTCTTTATTGGTTCAAAGATAGGAGACTGTACTGGGCTTTGGTATGTTTTTGACTGATGCCATCACTGTTTATATCTAAGCAGCAATTACAAAGTGAAGCAAACAAAGTGGGAACAAAGCAACTACGGAAGTCTGGTAGAGATTCAGAGGGAATTTGTCTTTCTTTCTTCCCAGGCCGTGCTTTCTGCAGTGCCTCTGGGGATCCACATTATAACACTTTTGACCACAGAGTTCATAATTTCATGGGAAATTGCACTTACACCCTCTCCAAAGTGTGCAACATCTCTGAGGGGCTTCCATACTTTGATGTATCCACAACGAATGAACACAGAGGAGCCAACACCAAAGTCTCTTATGTGAAGTCAGTGCAAGTGGAAGTCTATGGCAACCATATATCTTTGCTGAAAACCAGGAAAGTGAATGTAAGAGAATAGTTATTTAAAAGACATGTATCTTTTTAAGCTGTCATGCAGATAAATATTTTCTCTGTAGAGTTTACAGCAAACTTTCTCTTTTTATTAGTTAAATGTATCTCTTTTAGTGAGATGTCCAACAAATTTGCTCAGATGAAGTGTTGTTTAATTGCTTCCAGTTCCCTTGTGCACAAGATCATATATTCCTCTAATCTATTCTAGCTGCTGGAAGTTGTAGGAATATTAGCAGCTATACACTAACTTTTACAACTTGCTGTATAGGTGAATGGCAGCAGGATGAACCTGCCTGTATATATTGAAAAGAAGATCAGTATTCAAAGCACTGGTGGATATGTTCTCTTGGAAACTGACTTTGGACTGTGGGTGAGATATGATGGAAATCACTACGCAGAAATCTCTGTGCCTTCTGATTACAGTGGTCTGCTCTGTGGCCTCTGTGGTAAGTCATAGGCTTAGTCACTTTTTAGTGAGTTGTGGAGGCTGGTGATTGCTTAAACTTATTTTCTTATTATGTCATATTTTTTCTACACCCAACTGTTCCTTGCCAAGTGGACTAGAATTTACAGCAGGAAGAAAACATCAAGGAATTTTTAAGTTTCTAAGAACTCTTACTTACAAAATTCCTGTTAACGTGCTATCCATTTGGGATGTTGTGAGGTATATCTACAAATTACACTTTTAGCCAAATAAAAACCCTCACTTCAGTTCTACAGTTTAAATTCAGGAAGAGTAATGATTTACATGCATCTACTAAAGAACTCTGTGTTTTCCTGTTATTTACATTCTGATGTATTTGTCCTTTGTTGGCTCATTTCATTTGTGAATCATAAAAACTTGAGCCTGTTTCCACAGTAAAGAGAAATCTTCAGAATAGCTTACTGTCAACATCCTCAAGCTTTCCTGCTGCCGTTTTCCTGTGCAGTTTTAGGAGGTTTTTTTATAATCTGAATGATCGTGTTTATATGATCAAAGGCAAAAAAAGAAAAGCTGAATCAATAAAAGAAAAAGTAGACCACTAAAGCTTATTTTACCCATTTTTTTTTATTCCAGATAAAATATGCTGTGTCTACATTAAAACAAAGCAATGACAAGGATCCAATACAGATAAACCTGAGCTGACAGACTTGATGAATAAGAAAGAAAATTCATACTTTATTTCCAAAATTCAAATATCACCAAACATTAAATGCTATATATGATACAAAGCATAGAGGCCTTTTAGAGTCCTATGAGAAAGATCAGACAAAAAGGGCACAATCTGATGTGTTCTGTAAGAAATTCTGTTGCAATAGGATACCAAAGTAAATAAGTCACAGGTGACTTATATAGCTAATGAGAGTAGGAGCTTGATGGAATTAGTAGTGATCGATAATTTTTCCTCAGCAGCATTGCTAATGCCTGAACCTGAGCAGAGTTAGTTGCAACAACAGTCTGAAATCCAGGTGATTTTCAGGATGGAAATGGGACTGTAGAAATTACAAGAGTGGTTTGTCTTGTCAGTTTCTGATTATTCTTTGATTTGGATCATCTGAAATTTCCTACTTCAGTTATTTCTCCGTGAGTTTTTCACACTTTCAATTCAGGAAATCTACCTAAGTATGTAATGGTGCAAAATACACCATTTGGATTTTAGTCCAGCATTCTACACATAGGATCCAAGGAAATGAGTTGTTTTTTGGGTTTTTTTAGCTAAGCAATTTTTTCTTGTATGCAACATAACCTAGTTACAAAAGAACTTACAGACTACTTGCTTCAAGTCCACAAGTCTCTGAACAGCAGCTCGTCAGTGGTCAAAGTCTAAAACACAACTGAGCTCTTATTTTGCATATACACAGTGATGTTGCATATATACTCTCCCTAGTTTATTGTAGTTTATATTACAGCCTGAAACCTAGGTTTGTTGTACAGGTGAGAACTTCATGTGTCCCATAAATCTCTTTTTACCCTCACAGGTAATTATAATGGTGATCCAAATGATGACAACAGAAAGCCCAATGGTGACATTGCAAGTGGTTCCACTGATCTTGGACAAAGCTGGCTTGTGCCTGAGAATAACACCATGTATGTATATTAATTTAATCACGTGTCATTTGCTAATCAAACGTTATAAATCCAAACATCCCTCCACTCACTGGCTTTGTCACCCAGTACCATTATACATCTTTCAGCTGCCCATTAGAAGTCAGGACATGCTCCTTTACATTAAAGAGGGAATGAGGATTTGTGTCCTTTGAGTCTTGTTTTTCCAAGCAAGAACTGTCTGCTGAATGTGAAGGGGGATGGGACTTCAGTCCAGTTCCCTGACTAGAAACCATAACTAGCTGGATCCCATGGGCTCTTTTTGCAGCTAAGAATAAGCCTTTGAATAGCCCAGAAAGCATACAAAAAGGATTCAATTCAGTGTTAAGGCTGACATCAGTGAGCCTTGTGACTGTAATAAAATGCACTCTGTTGTGCAGGGTTGTCATGTGTCAATCTTCCACTTCCAAATCTGATGGTAAGAGATGTAAGACACGTTTGATTTTGCTTGTTTTCCCTAGATGCTCCAGTGGAACAAACCAGCAGTGTGATCCTGTGCTGGAGAGTGAAGCAAAGAAGAACACAGCATGTGGCATGATCACAGACCCAACAGGTAGTATGTTGGTAGTTCTCTGTGAGCCATGTCATGGGTCACTGTATAGCTTGTGTTGCCTTCTTTCTATAGTCCATTGTTCTGAGCTTGTATTAAACATATAAAACCTTCAGTGTGAATGGCCAACATAAAACTCATAGGTACTTGGTCAAGATATGTCAACCATTTGGACAGTGCTAGTGTGTCAATGAAGATTATCTGAGCATCTGTGTAGGGAGCCATAGCTGCTCTTTGCTTTATAATGACTTGCACTCTGCTTGATAAGAGAAACAGTTTAGAGAGCACTGTAATTGCATATATTTCAGATACTTTATCTGAAATACTGTACATGATCCCTGCATTGGACAGCCCCTGAAGTTGTTTAGAATAAGTGGCTTTCCTAGCTAACAACTCCTAATTTATATAAGCTATCTTCTATCAACCATGCAAAAAGAAGAAAACCTGATCTGGAGGGCCAAGTCTTATTGTGCATGCTCCATTTCAAGTGTTGGTTTAACTTAGTAAATAAAATTAGCCTGGAGCACTCACAATACATTTACTGTGACAGAAAATAGATGGTGTTGGTGATCTAGTAATTCCACTTTTGTTTTTTTATCCTTCTGTGTATCTTGATTTACACAGGAATCTTCAAGGACTGTCATTCCAGAGTGCTTCCAGATAATTTCTTTGACAACTGTGTTTATGACATGTGTTTCACTGATGGACAGGCAACATCCTTATGCTATGGACTGCAGGCCTATGCTGAGTCATGTATCAATGCTGGGATATGCATAGAGTGGAGGAATGCTACACTTTGCCGTGAGTGTTTTGACTTATAAAGATCTATTCCGGATTAAAACATCAAAAGTATGCACATTTTCTCTACCTTTTCATACATGTTATTTCATTTTATGTAATGTTTTGAGTATAACCTTTTGCCATATCTTAAGCCTGCTTCATTTCATTCCAGCATTTGTATAAAAGCCTAATTTTCAAGAACATTTGGATATGCAGGTCTAATCCTGAAAGTTTTAATAATTTAGTAACAGCTTTTTGGAAAAGTTTGATTACCTTCAACTATCTCATGTGAGCTTCTGCATTGGGGAAATAACTGTTGCTTTGCTCCACTGAGAATCTACCATCCTCAGTGTAAGCAGAGCTGGTAGTCCTCCATGCACAAATGCTTATAGATGGCTTTTGGTTAAAAAGCTACTTTAATAAGAAAACTTGAGAAAGAGCTGTTTCTAGGAAGTTTACAAGTATTTCTCTATAAAGCAAAGAAATCAAGTATTCTCACTTATCTCCCAATTAATTTTCTTCAGAATGACCTTTTGAGGAATTTCATATAATGAACTCTTATTTCTCAGAATAAAGCTTTCCAGCAAGAAAATCCTTTGTATGAAGCACTTTCCAGTATCAGACTTTCTAGCAGCAATTTTAAATATTTTCAGTAGCAAACCGTGTGAGCGTCAGGAAAACCTTTATCATTATTTTGCCCTTTTGAGTGATCTTACCTTTTCTTTTTCTCTCTAGCAATGTCCTGTTCTGGAGGCAGCATCTACAAGAGCTGTGGTACTAGGTGTCCCTCTACCTGTTTGAACATCTCAGCAGCTGATTCATGCAGTTCCTTGCCAGTGGAAGGTTGCTTCTGTAAGGAAGGCTATGTTTTGAGTGGAGACAAATGTGTGCCAGAAAACAGCTGCGGTTGTGTTGATGAAAAAAACCGGTATCATCAGGCAAGTTAATTCAGACACTTAAAGCGAAAAAAAACCACCAAACCCAGCAAACAGGGGATCTCATTCTTTATCACCATGAGAGTAAATAATATTAATAACACTAACACTATTATTATTTATGCCATTAATAGCAGCAAATAGACTCATTTTCCCAGCCTTCTTGATCTGTGAGCTGTGTAATACAATTGCCCAAATCCATCATATATCATGCACATTCAAATACTAATAATTTGACTGTCCCTTATGGTATTACCTTCCAATCTATTTTATAGTATATTCTTCTACATTCTTTTTTTCACTCAGCTGGATGAAAGCTGGTTTACCAGTTATCCCTGCACTGAACGCTGCACCTGCAAGGCTAATAACACCATCAAATGCACATCCTGGGAGTGTGGAGTCCAAGAGGAATGCAGTATTCAGGATGGAGTACTGGGATGTCATTCCAATGGTAAGTCCTGCCTAAAAACAGTTCTCAGTTCTAGCTTTATTGTAAATATCTTTATATATGGGATTGCAAAGAAATCTCAAATGACTGGTGCCAGTGCTAAAAGAAGAAAAGATATGATGAACTTTCTTGCAAGCATAGATACCCTTCTGTTGTAGTGGATATCAGCAAAAACTGATGCTACCCAAAAGCCTGCAAGGTCACCTGGGGTCTTTTTGTCTTGATAATTCAAATTCAAGCCCTACATCATGAGTAACCATTATTACAAGCTGTAAATTTGTGAATTATTGAGAACTGCATTTCTGAGAGTCTGGGTAATGGCAAATGCATTAAGCATTGATATATATGTAAATGAAAAAATATTTACTTTTAGATCTACACCTGTATGTATTTTTATATAGCTATGTAGAAAAACTCTGTATTAATCTCAACAACTATAAATCATAGCTACAACATATAGGAATATATATAATATTGTAATATATATAGAAATATAGAAATGTGTAAAGAGGTTCATTTGCTGCCAAATAGCCAGTTTGCCATAATTTGTGAATTTAATTTAGGAGACACTTTCTGGAAATTTCCAAATAGGCATGAACCTGAGATAGATACCTCTGTGAAGGTTTGCCCACACAATGATGATAAGGATTAGGTTGTTGCACTAATGGTTGCACTTTGGTTAGCTGAATCCAAGGTGAAATCCAGTCCAAAGTTCTTAGATATTTTTTTCACCTTCAGGCCAAGCAACATGTCAAGTGGCAGGAGATCCCCACTATTTCACTTTTGATGGAATGATGTACACTTTTGTGGGTACCTGCACCTACACCTTGGTTGAAGTTGTCAACACCAACAGTGTTATTCCTATAACCATCCTTGGCAAGAATGAAGACAGAGGACTAAGAGGGGCCACATACCTGAAAGAAGTCTACATAGATGTGTATGGTGTACGAATCACCCTTCAGAAAAACCAAGGAATCCTGGTAAGTGGTGATGCTCTTTATTCTGGCAAGAAGTAGGTTAAGATTAGCTCACTACAGTAGCTGTAGGACAGCTATGTTTCCTAAGGAATATGTACATGTGGGCACCTCCATTAACTGGGTATTACAAGGAAACATAATTTCTCACTAGTTCCCAAGGCTTCTGTTTGGGGTTTACTGTTCTACTGGGCATATCTTGGAGACAGAGCCCAGAGCCTCCAGACTGCAAAACTGCTGCCTGAACTAAAGAATGGGGCTTCCCACTTCAGTAGCTTTTGTCAATAGCTAGCTAACAAGAGCAGAGCAAAAGAGAGTCATACTGTAGTGGTCTAGCATAGCATGAGAATCTATGGCACTACCAGAGCAGGGAATCCACCCTATGGGCAGGTAAGAACTTGCTCACTACCAAGGATCTTTCCAGCTCTCTGTTAAAGGCACAGGCTGAATCCCATCCAGCTCTCCTCAGCTAAAAAGCTCATTCCTGCAACCCATAGTTGGAATATGCAATGGTGGAAGTGTAAAAGAGGTAAAATTGTCATTGAGGATTCTTCAGCACTTCAAGGAATATAGACTGTAAGCAGAAAAGCTTTCGTGGAAGAATGTCCATACTGACAAATGACATGTTTCTCCAGCTGAACAATGAGAGAGTCTACACTCCATTGGAGAACCGGTTGCAAGGCGTGTCCATTGGAAATGTTGGCAGATTTATAGTAGTGGAAACTGACTTTGGTGTGATAGTAAAATATGATGGCAATCACTACCTGGAAATCACTCTCCCACAGTCTTATTTCTCAAAGGTAAGATTTAGTATGTAAACATGTGGGAGTGTTTCAAAACTCCTGCTTTGTACATTTACTTCTGATTTCTTTTATTTCTGTGTTTTGCTGTTGCGTCTTTCTTTGTAGCTGTATTGTGACATGTTATTTTTTTTCCTTTCTATTTTTTTTTTCTCTTCACAACAATGTCCTTGAGTTCCAAAAGGATAGTGAAAGAAAACAGCTGGGCTAGGGGAATGCATCTAGTTTCTAGAATTAAACACCTTGAAAGCTTAGGGAACCACAGATTTACTGCAGTTTCTATTTTATTTCTTCATGGGTGTGATCAGACATCATGCAATGTCTGGTATAAGATTGGGTGTTGGTGGTGATTTGGTCATATCATTTCATAGGCAATGAGCAAGAAGTTCTTGGGGAAGCTGATGAAGAACAGATTGTGCCTAGACTATGGTTCTTTTTCATTTGCAGGTACATGGCATGTGTGGTAATTTCAATGATAATCGTGAAGATGATCTGTCCTTGCCCAATGGTACACTCGTCAGTGTCCCACAGTTTGGAAATAGCTGGGAAGTGGAGGAAGACAGTGATGAAGGGTAAATGTAACTTCTTTTCATACTTTCTATCTTTGAGAAAGTATCCTTTCAATTGTTTTGACTATTTGCTACTTTGTAACATCTGAGTAGCATATATGAGACTTTTCTTGAATGTGAAGCTCAAAGCCATACCACAGGAAAACACTGCACAGGCCAGAGGGTAGCCACAGACTTTCTGTTCATCTACATACACACTCGGGGAATTAGGCTCTGGGGCAGTCCAAAGTGTGGACATAGCCTCTGGCTTACACTGAAAACACCTAAAGCAGGAAGACGGTGTTGAGGAACAGTAAGGCCTGGCTGCTGCCAGGGACAGGGAGACAAGTATGATAAAATGACCAAGAGAATGGTGGCTTCACCAGCCAGGGCCCATCCTACACCATGCAAGCAAGGCAGGCCCAAGAGTGGAAGTCAGGGTTGGCCAAGAGTCCATATCACTACCCAAGCTGGCAGTGACAAAATGGTCTGAGGTCCGAGGTCAAGCTGGGAAGTCAATCCTCTAGTTAGGGTCAAGTTCAATGAGAGTAATGAAGGTTAGACACAGCATGGTGATTGCCAGGCAGATCTACTTCCACCTGATCTTTCACTCATAGATAGAAAGACTGAAGTATCTAGCTTTGTTTGTTTAATACATTTCAGTAGAAACAAATTTTTCAGTTTCAGTCTCAATCTTATATGTCTTTGAAACTGTAATGTAGCTATGTCTGTGCTTTCATGCAGTTGTTTATCAGACTTAAGAGAAGATGATGTTCCTCCTTGCATTTCTGAGAGTAAACCAGTCCTTGAAAGCCAGTGCAATGTCCTAAAATCAGACAATTTCAAAGCATGTCACGATCTAGTCAAGCCTGAAGACTTCATACAGATCTGCATCTATGACATGTGCCAGTATGATGGCATGAAGTCTGCCCTCTGTGACATAGTTCAAGCCTATGTAGACACCTGCAGCAATCATGGAATCACCATTAAATGGAGGAATAGCACGTTCTGTCGTAAGTGCACAAGCAAGTGAAAAAATGAAACTTGGATGGTTAATAGCATGAAAACAAACTAGTTGGATTAGGTGAAGAAGTTATGTAAAAGAAAATGAAACTCCAATTCTTACAAAACGTAATTTTATTATTATGATTTTATGGCTTCATTGTTGCACTGAATTGTGTTCAGGCTGAGCTAAACCCAGTGGTAACTCAGGACTAGACAACTTATGCATAGTAATGTGGAGTTAGAATGGCTTTAGAAGGCAAATGAGATATTGCAATAAACCTAAAATGGAGCAATAATGTAACCAGAAGCAAACCAAAACAGTGGAATACTGTGTTTTCACGCAGGGCTTGATGCCACTCACTGTGTTTTAAATGAAAATGGCAATTTGGCTCTGCTTAGTAAGGGCCACGTTCTTGGATGAATTTCCAGTGTATGTGCCTCACTCTGTGCATTCAACAAAGCTACAAACAAATGATATAAAAATTATTAAAGATTGCACTATTGGTTTCTTTCTTTTTTTTTTCTCTTAGTTTGTTGGTTTGTTTTTTTCACAATTTAGTGGGTTTCCTTTTGTTGTGGGTTTGTTTTTTTTTTTGTGGAATTAGTTACCACATGTTATAGAGGACAAAACAACTGCTTAGAAAACAAGCCAGATGAAGGTTTAACAGTTCCATTAGAAATACCTAGTTTCTTCCTTGCCAAAAGTGGGGGAAAATACTGGACAAAAGAACCATTTTTCCTGCTGCCCTGTTTCTTGAACTGTTTCTTGAAGATGAATCTTCAGTCTGATGATGTTTATCTGTTGTTCTTGCATGTGTTTATGACTGTGGTTAAGCTAGATATACACCTGGTTTGCATCAGTGGAGGGTTAAGGAATTTGCCCTAAAGATTCTAATTTCTAGCAGTGCCCAAAAAAGCATTTACAGCTGAACTGGAATACTGAATCTGAATGATCTAGTGCCAGTTGCCACCACTTCAGGCATACCTGTAATAGAACTGAAATCAGCAGCTCCAGAGAGGGTTCTTTACTTGGTCTTTGTTTTAAATAAAATATAAAAAATCAGAACTGGTTGATGATCAAAATCAGCTATTAAAAGGCAATTCTATACTACCATTTTAAAGGCCAAGTTGTAGCTTTTGGTCAGGCACACATGTCTGCAGTGTGCTTTTAAAACATATTTCATAACTCTGGTTCTATTCTCTTCGCCCACACAGCATTGCCCTGTCCATCCCACAGCCATTACACAGACTGTGTCTCCCTGTGCCCATCAACATGCAACGACATTTTTGCTTCTTCCCTTTGTGAGAAGACAGAAGAGTGCACAGAGGGCTGTGAATGTGATGATAACTATGTACTCAGTAGTGGCAAGTGTGTACCTCTGAGCAATTGTGGCTGCAGGGATGATGACGACAATTACTACACTGTAAGTAGTTTGTCTGAGGAGCAAATCTCTGGCTGCAAAACTTGTAGAAAGTTAGTCTCCTGCCCATCTGAATATGAGACAGAAATTTTCAGGGTCTGCATCTTAAATACCTTTAATTTGATTAGTAAAAGCTGCAGGCTCAAGTACTAGGAGATGCAGGAGCTTGGTACTTTGCACCTGAAGACAAAATTGAGGCATATTTGAAACTAGTCAATTGACCAGAGTTATTCAGGCAGTCTGTCCTAGTCCTATTTTGTGTTCAAATTTTCATGTCAAAGACAATAAGATAAATGGACTGGCATTCCCCCTCCCAGGCTTTTGGTGAAAGTACACCTGGGTTGAGCCATTATGGAATCACCAACTGGGCAGGCTGCACCTAGCCAGCCCCCACATCCTTTGCTATTAAACTTCTATTGCGTTGCAAAGCTGAGCACCTTAACATATAATTCACACAACTTGTGTCCAGGCTGGGGAGACCTGGATAACTCCACACTGCACCAAAAGATGCACATGTCAGAAGAATGGTGTCATTAGATGTGACAACTATAGCTGCGATTCTAAAGAAATCTGCGTGATCAAAAATGGAAAACACAAGTGCAACCCAACAGGTATGTGCAGACATGTCTTCACTTTGTGTTCCATGAGGGTTGGAGAAGGAGGAAGGATGTGGATGTCCATTCTTTCTTCTATGACACTTCCAGTCTTTTCCACAAGGAAAGAAGGCAGCTGACAGTGCTGCTAATGATACATGAACACAAAAAGGCCCCTGTTCTCAGAATAGAAAGTTCCAGTACAAGATAAAGAATTTGTAGAGTAATGTGAAACAGCAGTTTGAAAATTTACTTACATACAGAAATTTGACAGTTCAGTCTGACTAGTTTAATTTAAAAGATAAATAAATAAATATGGTTTGCACTGCATCTACCAAAACTCAGATATGTCTGTGAATGCTTTGGCAATGATACTGTTTTTAACATGGCATGTTGATTTGAGAAAAGAAAAAAATAAAGACAGAGCAGATCTGAATAGATAGGTAATAGGCAGTCAGTTGTTCAGTTGGCTTGCACTGCTTCTCAGCAGAGGAACAAGCTTCTCAGTCCATCTCTTCGCCTGAGTGCCCATTGCATAGGGTAATGCCTGAGCACCCATCTTTACTTTAAGAGGCCTGCATGCTAGCAGCAGTCATTTTTACCTGACTTATTTTAAACTGATCTATGCATAGGATCTAGCACATTCACATTCAGACTGGAGAGTAATGAAGTTCTGACCCTTTAGGTTTTGGGAAATGCCAGATCATGGGCGATCCACACTACGTCACCTTTGATGGTCTAGTGCACCACTTTCAAGGGAAATACACATATATTCTGGTTCAGACCATCCCTGACCTACCTGATACCCTGACGCAGTTCAGCATTGAAGGCATGAACTATCCTTTTCATCGAAGTCGACACATTACTAACCTGAAGGAGATTCTTGTCAATGTTTACAATCACACAGTGCGATTCAGGCAGAACAAGCAGCTTGTGGTAAGTCTCTCACTGATTGCAGAGTACAGAGTACAGAGAAAGACCTTCCCTTGGAGTAAAACACCTTTGAGTAATAAATGTCTGCTTTGAAGAATTTAAGTATCTAAGCAATCTGTATTATAACAGCAGTGCTATGACGTAATCACAAATGTGATTTTCAGTGTGTTGCATGTTTTTTTCTCTATAACTATGAAGGATACAATTCTCTTCAAATCAATGAATAAAAAGTGATTTAGGAATAAAGTGCCAAATATCCCAAGACCTACTGTGATGCCATACATATTTTTATCAGTGGTAGGAGAAAAAGATGTGTGAATTATGAAAGGAAAACTTCATTTCCTTTCTCTTTATTAATGTGTAAGAGTACACATAGCTCACATATAAATTAATAAAAATCTTTAAGGATGATATGAAAATACTGTGTCCAGATACTTTCCTCAATACGTGATTTTGTTAATTAAAAAAAAAAATCAAATACTAAAGTTTTTATCTGGTTAAATTATCTATTTATCATAAAACCAGAGGAGTGTTCACTTGTTGCATTGACCTGTACTGAAGAAAGATTTGAATTTGGCTTATATATTATGAATTTTTACTTATTCTTTCCCTGTTAGTTGGATGGTGTAAGAGTGATACCACCTGCTCATCCTCATGAAGGTATTCGTATATATCAGAGGACAACAAGAATTTACCTGGAAACAGATTTTGGCTTATACGTGAGCTTCGATGGCAATCAAAATGCAGGTAACTAAGCCAACATGCAGGAATATTTATGCACTGTCTCAAAAAATGTTATTTTTCCAAAGGAGGTCTAAACCCAGAGCAAAATTAGAAACCTTCAACCTTTGAGCCTATGGCCCTTTGTGATACGACCTTCCAGAAAATCAAAACAAAGTGTTTCCCAGGAACCAGAAAAAAAACCATAAAACTGGCATTTCTTTATCTGAATCCACCTCAACTTAGGAGAAATGAGATGTAGATTCATACTGTTCTACTTTATTTCATGTTAAGTAAGGCCTGAATGATAAAACTGACAGCAAATTACTTAAAAATTATGATTAGGATGATGGGATAAAGCCTGGATCTGCCCCGTGCCAATTTAAACCAGTCATAGGACTGAGGTCCTCAAGCTATACAGCATTTTTTTACATACTTCCCCTCAAACCTATTCCAGATAATGCCATTCTTTAATGATTCTCAATAGGACTCATGTCACGTATACACAACTCACTCATGTACGCTGAACACACATTACTACCTCCTCTGTTTAGAATTACTTCTGATTTACAACAGAATATAGCCCTGTTATTTCTGAGTGTATGGTGAAAGCACCAGGCCATTTACACATATGACCATCATTCCAAACCCTAAAATTCCAACTGCAGAAAGAAAAGGTCTGTTTTATAAGAATTTTGTTTCAAAATGAGCAAGGTCACTGTAACTGAAGGGCAAAATCTGGGTGCTGCATTCAGTTTGTTGCAAAGCAGTAAGCAGTATGCACTAAGAGCAATCAGGTAGTGATGTCATGTTGTATAACACCTTATTGGCTGCAAGAAATGACTTCATGATCCATGTTGCAGACTACAGAAACAGTCCTGTGAATACATATATGAAAACAGGTGTTTAGGGTTGTGCTCATATTTCTGAGGTCCATGTCATATTACCAACTCAAATCTAATCATGAAATGTTATACTTGGCTCTTCTTTCCACCTCTTCCATATGCTCAGAAGATCTCTGTGTAATGGCTTTTTTGTTTGTTTTTTTTTTGTTCTGAACTTCCATAGATATAAAGCTGGCCAACACCTACAGCAACAGAGTGGAAGGCTTGTGCGGTGACTTTGATGGAAGATATAAAAATGACTTCACAAAACCAGATGGTGTTTGGGTGAAGAACGTAAATACATTTGGTGAGAGCTGGAAAGTTCCCGTGACAAGAACAACCTCTCGCCTCAGGTACTTAACTTTCTACTTAATATCCACAGCAAGCACAGCCACTGGAAGTGAGTGAATTAAGCCACAGTTAATATCCAGGAATAACTACACTGTCTTATTTCTAGTCTTTCTTCATCTGGTCTGTGTGTGGGGACTCTTCCTGGTTAAAACTAGGGTGAACTATCAGTGCCCTTCTATTTAGCCAAAAGAGGCCTGAACTATCACTGCATTACTCCAATTCAGTATCCCTCTTTGGAGTCACAGCCGCTACAACTGCTAGGGCACAGGAATTCATAAGATCTTTGCCAAGCTCATGGTTCCTGGCAAAGATAAATACATCATGCTGTGCTGGATGGGCCAAGGGAGAGCAAATCCTGGTTCAGTGTCATCCCTCCCTTGGAACATGAAGGCAGCTTTGAAGTCCATCAAGATGAATTCACAATTCCTCCCAGAAGATGTTCTTGAAGAGTTTGATTTCCTTACATCTATGGCTATCCTATCTAGTGTTTTCTGCCAGTACACAAAAAGGACATTCTCTTGAGTATGAACGAGCATGATATTTGTGGCTAGACAAATTCTGTGCTAATTAGTCCATACAGAACATTGAAATAGGAGGGAAAGGAGTTTCTTTCCATCCTTCCTTTGAAAGACCTTTGGAAATTGCTTAGCCACTAACACAGGACTTTATCAGCAAGTAAATGTAATTGTATTAGCTGTTAGGATATAATCTGGCTGCAAAACTTGTTTGCCACAATAGTAGAAAGCAGTATGTAGGCTAATGTTCAGCATAAAGGGGCTCTGGAGGCTAATCCTATAGGAGAATTCTGGCACTTCAGGCATGCAGACAACTGCTCAGTGAAAATGAACATATGTCCAAGAAACAGTGACTTATACCAGCTGCACTATTCTGACTAATGTTCAAGTTTTATTAGATTGGATGAAGGAGGTATTGGATGAAGCCTGCGCCATGCAGAATTTCCAAAGAGATAATTACATATATCCCTTTTGATTTTAATATCCATAAATCTCTGATATGGTAGGAAGTGTTCTAGTACATCTTTGACTTGCTTTATCTATCTCTTTCCCATTCAGGATAAATCATGAGAGAGAAATAAGCTTCCACTTACACCATGAGGCAGAAGTACTCTTGTGGAATTACTTAGAGTAGTACCATGAATGTTGGTTGTAGAGAGAAATGATGGTTTCATAATAACTTAATTTACAGGCGAGATGTCAACTCAGAAGATGAGTCTGAGGAGGAACCAGATCCAGGGCTCTTCCAAGGCTGCAGTGAAAATAAGCTGGGACAAGAAAACAGAACTTCGAGATGTCATATCCTGATTGACTCGAATGGTCCTTTTGTAAACTGTCACTCCATGGTCTCACCAGATTTCTATTTCACGTGAGTGTCTACTGCAGACAGTCATTCTCCCCATTTGCAAAATCATTTTGGCACTAGTTTCTGACAAGAGTTTTGCATCTTCTGTCTCCAGGGTATTAATAGAAACTGAGGCTTCAATGTATGGGTATCCTGATTCTCAACATAAGCCTAATTTTCTGCTCAGTTAAGAGTTTTGTTGGGCAGCCTGTTCTACCTTCTTAGTGGTTGCCTCATTTTTCGGAGATGCTGCATAATTGCAGATCCCATTCATCTCAGATTTTAATGCCTCTGAAAATCAGCCTGTGGATATTCAGATGAGGAAAGCTGAGAAGGTAGCACTGGTAAACAAGCACTGGGTAAAACAGAATTCTGTGTCAATATTCAAGGTATATGAACATGGGGAGGGCACCCATGTATTAAAAGAAGTGTGAAGTCCAGCTCTAAGGACTTAGCAGTGTTAGAAAGTGCTCAATAAGCAAGATGCAGCCATGGTAACCCAAACCAGAAGCAGATCACAAAGAATAACTTGCAGTTATCTATCACAAAGAATAACAAGCAGTCAGGTACCTGTTTATTGCTTGTTCATATATGAATACCTCACATGTTAGCAGCAGCTGCACAACAAATGACCTGATCCACTGTGTTCCTGTCAGCCAGAAAATGGAACTAACTCAGAGTAAGGCAGAAAAGCAGCTGAAAATGAACAAAACCAAAAGCACTGGGAATTAACACTTTCTCATGTTGCACATAGGAGCTGCCTGTTTGATATGTGTGTGGAAGGAGATGAGGATGCTACCTTATGTCGCAGTCTGGAGGAGTATGTGCTGACTTGTCAGCTGCAAGGAGTCAGTATGGAAGGCTGGAGGCAACAGACAGATTGTGGTAAGCACAGGAAGAACCAGAAACTTCTTTCTGCCTAAAGGACTCTCCAGAGCTGAGATATGAGGCTTTTCCTAGATGTACCATACATCAAAGCTGCTCAGGGAGTAAAAGCATGTTGATTCACACTTAAATCATTGTTCACAGTTTAGCATGCACACTTGCTCTTCTGGCCTTTCTTGTACGTCTTATGCTGACTTTTGCATTTAGATCCCAGCTTAGAAAGCTACTTAGGAAAGCAGATCTGTCAGGTCCTCAGCTATCAGAAATGTCTCCATTCCCAACTGGGCAAAAAAAGTTAAAATTCTGGAGACCATCACAAGCCACAAATCTGAAGGGAAAAGCATTTAATATCAATCTCTTTTTTAAATCTACAAAAAATACTAGTTCTCTATTTGCCTGTGAAATTTCAAGATAAAAAAGATTCAGCTGAAAACTCCAAATCTCTCAGACTAAAAAAATGATAAAATAAAACTTATAATGGTCTAAAATCCTTTTTTTTTCTTTCCCCAAAATTGGGAGGTTCAAGGTTCATCAAACCATACTTCCCCTGCATCACCCATGGTTAGATGACTCTGTATTCCTGGTACTTGCAGGAATAGTTATCCTGAATGTGTGAGAAGTTATTTGTGGTCAGTGAGCACCAGGAATGAGAACACAGCACACAAATAGCTTTCACAATGCATTTTTGACTTTGGAGTGCTTTACTTAGAACTCCAGTACTATTATATATGTATGCACATCTCAGTATATGTGTGGTTATCATACTGCCCTCTACAACATGGTAACATCCTCTGAATCTCAAAGGGCATTGTGTAAGTAATGCACAGCAGCCTGCTGTAACTGGACTCTCCTTATTTTTACAGGTATATCATGTCCTGCCAACAGCAACTACAGCTCATGCATGTCTGCATGCCCAGCATCCTGCAGTGACTTGACCAGCCCCTCTGAGTGTGAATCACCTTGTCTTGAGGGCTGTGAATGTCTCCCTGGCTATGTTCTTAGTGGTTTTCATTGTGTGCCTTACAGGCAATGTGGCTGCACATACCTTGACAAATATTATGAGGTACAGTCTCTCTGTGGGTCAGACAGCTCCCGTGGCACCAAATAATTTTTTTTCTGCAAATTATTTTGACAGTCTCCTCATTCTCCTCAGCATGTAATTTCCATGGAGGAGGGGAAAAGAGAGAGGGATAACTTGGTCTGCCTCTGAAATGCTGCCTGCCAGAATACAAGGCAGATGCTTTGAGAAAGCATATGATTACACTCTAACCTCCATGTTAATTCTTCACCTTTATTATAAAGGAGAAATTTAGATTGGATGTAAGGAAGAAGTTTTTTACTGTAAGGGGGTTGAGGCACTGGAATGGGTTCCCCAAGGAAGTTGTGAATTCTCCAGCCCCGGTGGTGTTCAAGGCCAGGTTAGACAGAGCCTTGGGTGGCATGGTTTAGTGTGAGGTGTCTCTGCCCATGGCAGCAGGGTTGGAAGTAGATGATCTTAAGGTCCTTTCCAACCCTAGCCATTCTATGATTCTATTATGCTAAATAATAGCCTCATAGGCTCTGAATTTTACAACACACCAGTTTCACAAAAATTCTGTCAGTCACTGTGGTCACTTTCCTCTCAGTGAAGAGCAGTACAAGCAAGGTTGAAAGTTTGTAGAGTTGGCTGTGACATGAAGAGAGTCCCAATCAAGGCTGGATTCTGAGGAATATGGAGAAACTTCCATTGTTGCTGCAGGATAGAGCAGCTTTGTAATCTCAGAGATTTCTGTTTTAATACTAGAGATTTAGTAGAGAAAAGGCCTAAGTCAGTAAAGGTCGTTTTTTATGTGAGGAAGGAGACACTATGAAAAGGTGGCACTTTCAAGAAAAATGGCACATAGCATTTCCACACTGCCTTCAGAGGCACGATGTGATGTGTCTGCCACTCTCTCTTATCTCCAGCAACAGCTAGACATCGTTGGTTGCACTTGTATCCCGCCTGGGGCTAGGATGTTGTACGCCAAACTCTTCTTTTGCATTCATTCTTGGGCCATCCTTGAGTTTCAAAGGACTGGATTAATAAAATCCTCTTGCTCTTTTGTAGTTTTACAAACTACTTAAAAAAAGAAAAAAAAAAAAAAATCTGTGCTATTGCCATTCATCAGGAAGATATCAGAGAGAGTAGCATGGGGCCCCAGTGACGCATTCATGCTTTTTCTGGCTGGTTTTATTTGATATTTTTTAACATTTAACTGCTGTCTTCTAGATTGGAGAAATATTCACCACTGATGACTGCTCTCAGAGATGCCAGTGCACAGAAAGCTCCACTGTCTTCTGCTCAAACATAGTGTGTGGATCTGATGAAATCTGTGGCATTTCAAATTACAGTCGTGGATGCTACAGGAGTAAGTCATTCACTATCACATTGTCTTTGATGCTAAGAAGCCTTGACTTCCTATTTATAGGACATCACTGAGGTGAGGTGATGAGCGTGTACAGAAGAAAAGCATACAAGGGATCTTATTCTGATGTTTCATTGTAGAAACAGTGTTTCTTTCCCTTATTCCTGTTGTCTAGTGCAAGTAATACACTTTAAAATACAGGGGATATTCAACATTAGGAGTCAGCATAATCTCTGCATGAACAGTTCTCTCAGGGTTGGGTTATCTGGGAGCCTGAAGTGTTCCTTCTTCCTTGCTGCTAGGTGGACCATGTATGCCAAATCCTTGTAAAAATGATGGAGTTTGCTCTGAAACTACTGACAGCACCTCTCTCTCCTTCCACTGTGAATGTTCAGAACTGTACACAGGACAAACCTGCGAGGCAGAAAAGAGGGGTAATAAAACTATTCTGGTTTCACTGTTTGCATTACACACACTATTTTCAAAAATGGGTGCAATTATGGAGAAGGCGGAGCTTGCTCTTCACTTCTGTGCTGTAAATGAGTAACTCAGTAGGTAAGAGCCTGTGGTCATCCAAGAAGAAAGAAGGGGGTCAAATCCCCTAGTGGGCATGACAGTAGGGCTACGTAGAGCATACAGGACCCTGGTAACATGCCACTCCAGAAATCCACATTCATCAAAGAACATGGTGTAAACCAAGGAGACAGGCAAGGGTTGAAAAAAATGTTTCTGTTCACAGTATGGTTAGCTTTCACTGACAGAACTCCTCTTTGTTCTTCATTTGAAGTCTCTGCCACAGAGGATCCCGAGAACCACACGGTTGCCATAGTCATTGGAATTGTGGCAGGTGTAGTTGTTGTCACCATTCTCATCTCCTCTGCAGTGTACCTGTACAGGTAAGGCTTTTCCCAACTTTTCTAAGTTCAAGGAACATACACCCCTTTTAGCACCTGTAAACTTCAAAACTCCCATCAGTCACATACGTGCAGGACCAAAAAGGAACCACAGCATTCAGGATCTCATTTGAAGAATGTCAGGGAAAATACAGCTTCTTCTACAGAAATTAATATATGTCATTTCCATTATCCATATGCATCACTGTCACAAAACTTGGACTTCTCCAAATTCTGACTTCATTCATGCTCACACCATTGTTTGACCTCTCACTATAGATAAAATATAGATTGATTAATTACTTTTTTTTTTCATTGTGCAGAAGGAAAAGAAAGATGGATACACATGAGATATCAAGGAATTCTTTGAAACAGCCCGGGAATGTACTGGATGACAGAGTACATGAGCACAATTATGGCTGCATTGTGAACAATGCATTTGATCAAAATGAATCCCAAACTACATACCTATAGTTAGCAATACTTTTCCAATTAATTTGTATTACTTTCTGCTCTTGTATTTTAATAGTATTTCTAATATTTTGAGAATAAATAAATCATTGCATTTGCTGAAAACCTTTGAAGTTGTTCATTTAAAGTACCTCTCAGATCTCATGTTACAGACCCAAATTGAAATATATCCTAACTCAGAGACTGTTGTCTTCAGAGACTGTAAAACACAACATCCAGGCACAATTTGGCAGTAAAGTGTGCTGCACACCATCACATACACACCTCTGACAGATGTACTAGCCATAGATAGACTGATGAGGTCAGAATTCATTGTATCATCCCAGGCAGGTCTTCAAGAAATCATCTTACCCCACAGCCTTTCATGGGGAGGGGATTAGCTGACTGAGTTGGATACAGTTCTTACCCCTCTTCTGGCAAGGCATATTCAACTGGGGAGAGAAAGAATAAAGAAACCGCTGAACTCATGAGGTGACAGGTGTAGGAAAAAAAGATGACCCTCGTTGCCCCCCATGGGAGTGCTGGACTAAAAGAAGGGACTGTTTGAAGGAGAGCTGCCTCCTTGCTGTTATGGTGGAGTGGACAAGAAGGAGGGTTGTCATCAGTCCTCTGCCTGAAAGGCCTAAGCAAAGGCCTTAACTTCACAAAGCATAACTTCACTAAAACTTTCTAAAGAATAAGATCCTGTAATAAACTTTCCTTTGAGGTCTTTGCAGACTCTGAAGCTGCCACACTCTGATGAATGTGGGTAGACATCTGCATTGGCTCAGTCCCAGACCATGCTAAGGATGCCGCTACAGCAGAAGGCCAAATGTGTTTGGGGCAAGGCACGATAAGATGCAGTGTGAGACGCCTACTCCATGACAGACCACTCAAAACACTCAGGAAACTGAGGCACTGACTGGGCCTCGTCCAAGCCCTGAACTAATTTCCTGTGCCATGAGTGAAGCTTTGTGACTTACAGAGTGCACCATTTGCTGATAATTTTCCAGTTCTTTGCAGCTTCACTTCTGATTATGGTAAGGAACAATGTGGGCTTCCTGTTGTCACTGCCATAATCCTGGTTTTTATTTACTTATGCTTTCTCCTTTCCCTTGTGTCCATAAACTCATGGATGCTGCTAGCAAGAAAAGCATTGTGACCTCCATGAACAGTAAGGTAGATAAAAGGCATTTTATTCTGATCCATTCGAGAACATGCTAGCTGTCCACACATGCACAGCACAGCTATTTTGGACAGGATGTGACTGGAAAGGGGCTTTCAGCCTCATTACCTAATGAAAATGAATAACAGATCTACTCATGCACAAACGAACAGTCAACCTTATGCTGGAATTTCACCACAATTAATTTTAAAGGCATCTTTCCTGTTAGCCGAGTGGCAGCTTCCTACTGCACTCTCACACCTTCTAACCATGCAATGCTGTGAATGTTGACCACAGGTGACCAGGCTCACCTCCCCTTGCAGCTGGTAGGAGCACAGGCCAGTCCCTACCCTGCAGGATCCCAGCCCCAGCTCTTTCAAGCAGCAGGGCCCAGCTGCACCCAGGTAAAGCAGACTTCTCGGTTTCCATAGATCCCCTTTCCCTCCACCAATACCACAAGAATTCCCTTTGTTTTTCACTGCAAAGCTCTACAAATACTTCAGACTTGAAACAAGGGACGATACAGAAAGAATTACAATACACTGCTCCACTGGCTTAACTATTTCATGTCAGTAGAAGCCAGGAAAATGCCAAATCTGCAGCTCTGATCTTTTAAATCAACCAGCTTGCTCACCTGACTTTTGAAACACTAACCTTTAAATGCACTGCTTAGTCCAGCTCACTCAGAGGACTTTGTTGTTAGTGAACCCTCCTTCTTAACATACCGTACTGGTGACAGCCAAAGAGGAGACAACTGTGCCTACTCAGCTGTGCTCAGCCCTCAGCTCAGAGGATTACTGCCGGGTACAATCACGAAACTCCTCTGATATCCTAAAGGAAATTCCTCGGCCACAACATGAAAACCCATCCTAGAAATCTCTTTGCCTTAAAACGGCCACTGGGATTTCCTCTGAGCCTCCTTTGCTTCTCTTCACTAGGAAAAAAGAAGTGGATCAGCAGTGTGCCTTTTCTGTATCATAAGGTTACCCGGTAAGGGATGCTCGCTCTCTGCTCGGCAGGACAGCCCCGGCCCCGCATATCGGAGCTCACCCCCGCGGCCGGCGGGGCGCCGGCAGGGGCTCCCAGCGAGGAGGAGGTGATGGCCCGTCTTTCCCAGGGGCAGGACGAGCTTTTCCACACGACGCACAGATTTAGCAACACCTCCTAGAGCGCAGCCTCCAGACGAGGAGCAAAACGACTGCTCATCAGGGCTCCTCCTCGCTATTTATAACGGCCGGGAGGAGCGAGGACCCGGCCCAGCTTCCGCCGCTGCCCCCGCCCCGGCGTGGCAGCCCTGCTGCGGTGACAGCGGGGACGGCGCTGCAGGGTGAGCGGGGCACTGGGGGGGCATTGGGGTGCGGGCAGGCGTCTGCCAGCAGGACGTAGCTCTCCCGGGCTGCCGAGAGAGGCGAGCTGACCTGGGGACGGGCTGGGCGCCTCGCGGCCCTGCGACTGTCTGCCGGAGCCGCCGCGGTACCGGCACAAGCAGAGCCCCGAAAGGCACACGGCCGGGGCGGAACAGCAGACCGCTGTCCGGGGAGAGCACCGAGCGCTGCAGGCCGAAGGCCAGCCCGTAAAATGGCTTCATCCTCCGCGGGAGCGGTGGCGATTTCAAGCGCTGACTCCCCGGCTGCGCGTCGCTGGGCCCTGCAGAGGGCCGGGCGGCCGAGGCAGTAGTTAGGTGCCGGCTGCGATAGATAGAGCGTGCCAGTGCTAAGCCCTAATGATCTTCCTGCCTGCAGTCTTCCAGGAGATGCTCGGTGCACATCCCAGACCTCCCCTCCACCGTGCCTTGCACTGAGCCTGCCCAGCGAGAGGGGCATGTCCTGACCTTGGGCTCTGGAGATGGCAGCCATCCAGAGCTTTAGTACCACCCACCCCGGTGACCCTGAGCCTGGGGACCTGATCGAGATCTTCCGGCCAGCTTACCAGCACTGGGCCCTCTACGTGGGAGACGGGTATGTCATCAACGTGACGCCTGAAGGTAAGGCTGGTGCAGCTTGGCAGGGTGCAGATGGGCCTTTGGGATGACCAGGGAGCCCCTTCTCCATGGGCTGGTGGGGAGCCCTGTGGGTGCAGATGACCTTCTCAGAAACCCATCTGAGGTCTGGGAGGAGCCAGATGGGGTCTGCCTGGCTCATCCTATCCCTGCCTTCCCCAGATGAAGGGCCCCCAGCCGCGTTCTCCAGTGTGAAGTCAGTGTTCAGCAGGAAGGCCCGGGTGAGGATGCAGCTCCTGAAGGATGTGGTGGGAAATGATACCTACCACGTCAACAACAAGTATGACGGCACCTATGCTCCCCTCCCCGTGGAGGAGATCATCCGCCGTGCTGAGTACCTCATTGACCAGGAGGTGTCTTATGACCTGCTCAGCAACAACTGTGAGCACTTTGTGACCCTGCTCCGCTATGGGGAGGGTGTCTCTAGCCAGGTAAGTAACATGGTGTAAGGCCCTGTATGCCTCACAGTGCATCTGCTTGCTGCTGTATGAGTCCATGGACTGGGGCACAGCCTAGAAACTGCCTGGGGACAGCAAAGTCCAAGGCATAGGATCCAGACTGTCATTGCCTCTGGCCTCACAGGAGATCATGAACCAGGAGGTTCACTGTCTGCACCTTGATAGAGCCCTCTTACCAAATGCCACAGCCTAAGGGTGAAAGCCTGGGTGCTGCCTTGTTTGCTTATGGGGAAGGTGTCTCTTATTCAATTAATTGCTTTGATTATCCCTGCCTGCTCTTCATTATTCATGCCTGGGGGTAAAAAAAAAAAAAAGCTCATCATGTTCCAGCCTGTGTTTTACTTCTCTGCAGGCCAACAGAGCAATCAGTGCCATCGGGTTTGTGACAGCTGCTGCTGGTGCCTTCTCCTTGTTGGGCTTGCTTCGGAGCAGATCCAGAGAGAGACAGTATTGATGGGCCATTGGGATGAGCTCGGAGCAGGGCAGAGGCCCTGCCTGGGTTACTTGGAACAGTTTGTGGCCACAGCTGCCACTAAGATTTACTACCAACTGTGTCCCCTTGCTGAGAGCAGCACTAGTCTCTTTTCCACATCAGCTTTTGTTTCATTGCCTGTGATGATTTTTGTAGTAGTTTGGGAGTGTCTGCAAGCAAATTCTCCTCATGCACCCAGTGCTCTGCTGGGGAATGGTGCAGGCTTTCTACCCACATCATAGAGTCATAGAGTAGTTAGGGTTGGAAAGGACCTTAAGATCATCTCGTTCCAACATCCTGGTTTTATTAGCTACACCCTGCTGCCTTTTTCTGTGAATAACTTGTTTTAACCTTAACATTATTACTTTGTTTTTCTTGTTTGGGGTGTTCTGTTTTTTAATTAAAACTAATGTAAATGTATTGCTGAGTGTTTATTGTGTGTCCTCCAGCTAAGGGCCTGTTCAAGTGGAAAACCCCAGGTTCTCAGGCCTGCGAAAGGGCAGACAAAGCATGCACTGTGTTTTGGAGCCTGTGTGCACTGCCTACATGGAGCTGCTCCTGTGAAGGGCGGGAGGTAGGAAGGAAGGGCTGGTCTTACAAGTTATATCCTTCAGTGTTTTAAATGAGTGCGCTATTGTTTCATGATGGTGTTGTGGTCAATTTTCTCCTGCCTGGAAACCATCCCTTTCACTGGCTCTTGTGCCTCCTTTTGGGAGCAGCAGAGCCCCAGTTTGGTGGGGGGATGGTGGTGTGGTCTAGCAAAAAAACAGGTAGGGTTTTCACTGTTTGTTCCAGACTGGGGCTGCTGTGCCACTGAAATGCTTCATCACTGTAAGTGCAGTAATTGTTTGCACTGTATCTTACCAGGCTTACTAGATGATCTTTACACTCCCTTCTAACCGAAACCATTCTATGATTCTACTCCTTGGGCTGCCAAAGCACTGAGGTTTAAAGATCACAATGGATTGCAAGGCAGCCTTTCTGCGGTGCTGTGGGTGATGTACCTAGAGAATGAGCTATGCAGCACCTATG